GTACAATAGGAAAGATTCATCAACGTTGTTGCGAGTACTCGATGAAATATAATAACAAATCCTGAGTATTGAATGAAACGAAGTTGAACTCCAACTGATTACATTTATCCAATTTGCACTAGTTTTGATTGCCTTATATGCATGAGATTATTCTTCCTGTACAGATAAAGAACATGTGTAGCAATGCCTTCTTTGTTCATTTCGTTTATCTTTCCTGTAATTGTAAATGTAATTTTGAATTCTTCATATAGCCCTTTCATTGTGTGGCTCTATAAGGCTTCGTTGATGAGACATACGGGCAAACTAGCGCACCCCGGAAATCATGAAATAATCTCTTTATGTTGTATCTGTTTGAAGACCATGCTCATGGAACTGGCTTAGCTCTAATTTTATTGGTTAGCTTTGGCCGGCATGGCTGAATTTTTTGTATTTTGCCTTAGGCCCCCGTACTTTGCTCAAAAGCGCCCGGCGCTCAAAGGCACCCTAACGCCCATATTTCTCTAATGTCTCTTCACCTTTTCACCTTTCGTGTGAGGAGAGATGAGAGAATTAGAGAAATTTGGGCGCTTTTGGGCACTTTTGAGCCAACTCTGGCCAGGGCCTTAGTTTGCGTGAGTACTCGAAAGCTAGATGGTGTTTCTTTTGGATATGACTACCGCAAAGAAATTTCGCCTCCAAGAACTGAATACTTTGAACGCGGTTAATATACTGACGGGAAAAACGTGAAAAACAAGTTAGGGGAGGGTACATGAGTTTTATCCAAACTTCAATCATTATTTAATGGCTCAACAATTGATCATTCAGCGTCACGGGAGAGCTTATGTTCACTTACAAGTTACAAGCAAGCACGCACTGCGAGCACCAATGGTGTAGCGGTATCATTGTACCCTGCCACGGTACAGACCCGGGTTCAACTCCCGGTTGGTGCAAATCGTTTTGCTTTTCAAGTTCACAACGGATAACCTTTTGAAAGTGGTGACAAACTTGATTGCAGCAGAATTGTGTTTTTCAGGGCGAAGGGCTGTTTTTATATGCGTTATTGTTGTCAGTGCGAGGGTGATGCACTAATGGTGCCTGTGAACTAGCTTTTCTAGAAAAAGCTACAGAAATCCGGCTCTGGCAACGTCCAAAATGCAATGTCCGAACAAACGTAGGATTGACTTGATGTATATAAATGTAGTGCCACATTCGAGTGGTCCTTCTTAAACAGTGGAAAAATTGTGAGTTGAGAGTTAAGAATTCGTTTCTAAGACTCCAGCGATCCACTTGGCATGTGCAGGTATCATACGAATAGGGCTTGTAGTTTCATTGCTATGCGAAAAACCCTCAATCCATTTTCGCTCAGGAGCGGAGGCAAATCATGAATCTCGAGCACGAGATTTTCGCACTAGTGGAGGTTGGAGAAAGTTCAACCTTAGGCAAGCATGGCAATTTGTGGCGGTGTTCTAGAGGTCTTCCAACAAATCAGCTCAAACAGCGATTCCCAGTCGAGCACAACAAACTACTCTAGGGCTAATTAGTCCTCAAATATCATCGTAATACGCGAAGTTTCCTCAGTCTTATTGTTAATAAATCTTCTATCAAGACAGCATCAGTGAAATAAAGTGTTGATGAACAACGCAGGCTGAAAGAGAAATGTCATTAAGGATATGTACCTCTTGCGGCTTCCGTTGGTGCGCGATTCAACATTTTTAGTTTTTAGTTTTTTGTTGAGATTCTTATTGAGCCCACTTTGTAGAACTAGTCTCGGGTTGTTTGCAATAGCTTACAAATCTATGCATTATCGTTTTGAAGCCGTCGTCAGCCTAGTCAGAGATCGCAAAGAGTGGCGCAGTTTTGACGACAAGGATTAAAGCTGTGAAGGATTTGTTAGCGCTTTAGTTTTCGGGATATGAAGGTCGTTTTCGCGATGAGTAAATCAGAGTGCTCAATTGTTTGGTGCGAAATCAAGACTTTCCATCATCGAGTGGACGTAGGATCATACTCAAGCTACATAAGGTCATGGACTCATGTTGCCCTTGTGTACTTGATCTGTCCATATGAAAATCACATGAATGAAGGTATGCGAAAGGTATGCGATGGGAGGGCGGGGGGGGGGGGTCTTCATGTGGCTCTTTCCTGGAATTCGAAGGACTATAGTGAATCTCTATTGCATAGTCGGATACATCTTGGTTGTTTCTAAGGCGGAAGTTTATTACTTGCTCAACAAAAGGTTTCCAGAAATGTGCACTCTTTCAATCTTTGATAAGTCTCTTGTTTCAGCGTTAATCGCCGCGCCATTCTATAGAGCAAGACTCAATTTAGATTTACCTTATGAAACTCATCGATCGCTCTTCGTTACTGTAGGATTCCGGTATGAACTTACAGCATACAGAATCAATGTGAAAGAGATTGCCTGACATGACTTTTTTCAAAACTTCGGAAAATTAAGTAGCAATGTTTTTATGCGTGCTGATTTCACTACACAACTTTTTACAAGTCTTTGATGGGGCAATCACATTTTTAACAAACATTCAAAAAAATCTGTTATGATTTCCCTGGTTGAACTTACGAATGAAGCATCACATGAGGTGCAACTATTATGCTTGTAATTAGCGATTTCGATTAGCCCAGTACAGGAGCTTCTGGCCTGGTTGGTCTCTTTCCGAGGGAGATATGGCACTTACCCTGAAATCCTCCTTGAATTTCCTACCATAGTCCTACAGTAATGAAGATGATCAGTGATTTGCTCCATACTGTAGATCTAAGATAAATCTCGCTCTACAGAATGTTTCTCAAGTTCAACGGAAGATGTGAAAGCAAGAAAGTTATAAACGATCAAACAATGTGCACATTTTTTTGGGACACCCTCTATATCTCGCTTACGGTAGAAGTACGTTCTGGCACAAGTGGTCTTCTTGCCTTCTTAGGAACAAGGTCTTATACGATTTTTAGAGGCTCTACGAGATTCATCTCAAACACTCTCCTCTTCCCTCCCCGTACAAAAATAAAAAATTGCCGAGCTTAATACTAACAGAAATAGATATAATCAGTACTTAGTCGGAAACAGCGGTAGGGAAGGACAAATTGAAGATTTTGCTGTCAAAAGCTTGATTGGAAATTTAGCAGATGACTCAAATGGTAACGCAGAAAAAAAGTGCGCTCCCCAACCGTGACTGTTGCACTGGGACGCGATATCGATCTACGGTGGAATTAGGGCTCAAACGAAAAGGAAAGGAAGTGGTTTGAGATACTGCAGGAAGATAGATTATCGACCTTACAGAATGTGAGATTATCGACCTTACAGAATGTGCAGGATAAATTTCAAAAATATGCGATCTCTCAAAAATATATGCTCCGACGACTGGGTCGTCAAAGAAAACGACTGATGTGAGAAATCGTCTGCGTCACGTAAATTTCAAGCTTTATACATAATGTTGTTTGAGGTAATATTGTGTACATATGTCCAAAATCAGGTATGGATTCTTTTGTAGAAAGTTAAGAAATGTGTCATGATTCAGTCACATTAGCCGTCAGTAGGTAAACAGTGTGAAGATTTTTCTACGTATTCATTTGCGAAGGGATTAGATAATGGTTGCTGCTATTTAACAATTCGGATATTTTGATATCGGAGCCTATTGTGACTGATTAACATAGGTTTTGCAGATGATTTGCCTGTCGTAATTGATTCTGAGCTTTTTTTGTGGACTTTAGCAAAACCAAACTCTATTCAATCTTTTTCGCTTGCTGAATAAATGAATGATGTATGGCACACAGGGTTAAGTAGACATTTATTAAAGAGATCTAAGAAACCACTTAGATCATACAATCTCGTTTTATTATCCGTATACAAAAAGCATACTATACTTTCAACATATCGTCGCCTAGCTTTCTAACTTGTATGTCGCAGAAATATATTGGCGGCTTTTCTTTGATTGCTGGTATCTGAAAAGACGTAGACTTATACACTGGGGCGGACCCTTTAATTTGCTCTATGACTACCTTCTTTTCCCTTTCCCTAGCAAGAAGATCCTCGACAATTTCGTGCACTTCACGTCCGAGTGTCTCAGGCATATTGAAGTACAGATAGATCAGCGATAGGATAGAGGGAATGATAAAAAGTGGGATGAATGACCAGGACTAAAAAAATTCTTTTGGGAGATTGCTCATTGTGTTAGTGAATTTTTTTACTTACTTGTATATGTGTGTAAGCCGGCAGAGTGGCAAACGAAAACAAAAAATTTGCCACGGTATTTACAGCAAATACCATTGATTGCACTAATGAACGATGCTGTTGTGCGACCAATTCGGAAGTGATGAAAAAAGCGATTGGACCAAGGCCAATGCTGAAAATTCAGTGACTCGATTAGGTAAAATTCGGGCAGGGAAGGGTAAGTAACTTACCCATAAGTCACTCCGAAGAGTATCAACGCGAAGATATTACCCCACTTCATGGGTTCGTAAATATTAGCTAATTGGTCGAAAGCTACATACATTGCTAAGGAAATCGTGTTGAGCAGGCCAAGCCACAACAAAAGAGTACGGCGACCAAATCTGAAAAAAGAACACTTTTGGTGTTTTGCCAGAGAAGAATTCAAGTGGAGCGGCCTTTTTGTACTACAGTATGCAGCGAAAACCCTTATGGCTTTTGTCTTAATTAACGTGTCGCGCAGCAGTGTTGCGCGCGGCTGTGGTTCAGTATGGAAATGCTCTCACAAAATTAAGGGTACAACCCCCAAAAGCTGATCCCTGATGGGTTTGTAGTGCCGAACGGCGGCGAACGGCGTTCGAGCATCTGTCATTGGAGCTCGTACGCGCGCGCACGCCTCGCGTACATGGGGCGACCGCCTTCATCACGGACTAGCTTTACATCATTAATGCACATGGAAAAAAAGGTCAGAAATGAGTAACAAGATTACCAACCTTTCTATAATGAACATTCCAGCCATCCCAGCCACAAAAGTGGAGATGATAAAGCAAAGTGAAGCCATTTGAGCAACTTTTTCGGAGAAGCGAAGTTCTAGCATATCTGTCGAAAGGTATATGATCGACCAGATACCGACAACTACCTGTAATGGAAAATTTATTGGCAAATAAACAACCTGCAAATTGAAGTTGTTTTGGCAGAAGAGACGAACTTGAAGGCTAAGACAGCCGATAAAGAAAGGTATTCGGAGATGAGGCTCACGCAGAACGGTGAAAACCGAGCGTAACATAGAAGTTTCGGGCATAGCGTAATCTTCACCTTCGAGCCGCATTTCGTTGAGAATTGCGTCGAGATCAACTTTGTCTCCTAAAAATATAGAAATCATTGGGTCAGTGGGATTAAAGCACTGGAGATTCATTCGGGGTCTGTCAATCAATGTCATTTTAATACTTTGGCGGTTTACATTGATTACAAAGTTTTAAGTCCTAAGATGCGTCTAAAGCTGCCGTGGAAACCGTGTTCCAGCCCCGTGCTAACGCCGTGCCGCGGAGTGTCGATCAATACTTGCCGGGTCACGCGGATTTCAGCACGGCGCTGGCACGGCGGTGTCACAGCGGCCCCTCAAGCAGTTCTAAACGCTGTCAAATGACCCTCCATTTTTCACAACCACTTTGAACACATGAAGAATTGGGACTGGGGCAATTTGTTCACCCGGAGTATAGTCTTACCTCTGTAGAACCTGAGAGATTCTTTGGCAGCTTTTCGATCATTTTGATTGAGAAGAAGATATTTTGGAGTCTCCTTGAGGGGTATCACAAGGAGAATGGACATTGCCGCGGGTATGATGGAGATACCTGTGAGGAAACGTATTTGAGAGTAAATTTATTGGGGTGGAGGTAATTGTATTACCTGTAAGCACGGGCAAATCCCTTCCGAACATAGCATCCATACCGAAACCTATGCCCATTACCGTAGTGGCAGTGAATGTGTTCTCAGATAGGAACGATGTCATTCCTCGATATTCGGTAGGCGTTGCTTCCTGGAAGGTTGAGTTTAGTAAAAAGAAGTTGTGTTTGAAAAATGGTGGATCTATACCTGAAGGAAGAGTATCAACGCTCCAAATGATATTCCCGAACTCATCGAGGATACCACCCTCGAGATGAAGAATAATTCCGGTATGGAAAGATACACGCTTTGGAATGCGAGCACCGAGCCGACGAGTGCGATGCAGTTAGAGCCCAGTAGGGTTTCTATAATAAATAGAAAAAAGTTTTTTAATTTTTTTAGAGCCAAGGGTTTGACGCTTACTTTTCCTTCCAAAGCGTTCTGTGTAATAGGGCGTGACAAATGTTCCCAGAAGATATCCCAAAAACCATACATTTAGTATGGCTGACCATACCCAAACGTAAAATTCTGGAGCTATTCCATCCTGTGGAAAAAAATTATAAATGTGTGTGGAAATATTCTACAAGTGCATTATTTACCTCGTCACCTCTACCTATATACGTGTCGTTGATCATTTGGAGAAACGACTTGTATGAGGTGTTTGGGTATGAGTTCGAATAACCCTCCTAAAAAATATCGATTGGCTGAATTTTTACTGATTTACTCCATGGTAATCTGAACTTACCGGAAAGTTCACAACAGCACCTAATGAACCAAAAACCAAAAGGCAGTAATAAATTCGACCTAAAAATAACAAAATTAATGAAATTTATTTTTGTAATCTCAAATTGCAATATCGTTACCTCTGGGTGCAAACATCTTGATTCACGATAATTCCAACAAATATCGCTATATAACAAATTGAACACACTCTTTCGATGATCAATCACAACAGCCGTGGTACGAGGCCCCTTTCGCATAGGGCACTATTCTGTAAAATAAATATAACAGTAAGATCATCTTAAAGAAATCCAGTGTTCTTGGATTGCGAAATGTAGTCAAAAGTGCTTTTGCTCTTTCTTCACGCAGAAATTTCCAGAAGGGCAGACGCTTCTTGATTTGAAAGAGTGAAAAGGCGTGGGATAGGTAAAAATAATTTTTTAGGAATCACAGTTCGCTCAGGCTGCGGAAGATTACGGTAATGTTTCAGATCAGCCTTACAGCTTACGCTAGTGAAAAATTGTGGGCAAACATTTTTTTTGGCGACACCGATGCTCGAGGCAGGGTCGGGTTTGAAGACCGAGTGGAAAAAAATCATTTTTTGAAGTATGTCACCCGGTGAGCAGGTGTTGTCTCGTATGACGTTGGTATCATTACACTATTGATGACATTTGCTACTATCGAGTAGACAGATCAAGTTGCAATGACGTTTAAAGGTCATAAGTTATAAAGTTCAGAAATATTCACGGAAAAAGGGCGAAGGGGGTGGGAGGGGGGGGGGGATAAACGGAACTTGGTGGGAAGGACACTTTTATCTTGTGATTTTATATCAGTAAGAGCAAGAAATATCAAATAATGCAAAAAATACAGTTGTTTTGGAAGAGGGCCAAAAATTTGAATGAGCGAAATTTAAGATCGAGTGAACAGAATTTTAAAAACTCAGTCTCTACGATTTTACTTCTCCTCCTCCTCGTTACAGGCATAATTGAACTTCCGGGTTGGCAAAATTCAAAGCAAGCTAGGTCAGTGAGCTACCAAAATAATATAAAAGCTGCAGCAGACAAACCAGGTTTTATTCTTTGAAAAATCCAAGACTGCTTACCTCCAGATTAGGCTTAAGGGTAGTCGTAGCTACTCTTATTGTAGTACGTTAGTATAATGCTAAAATCACTCACGGAGATTATATAGAAGTGAATATGCATATTAAGGTACTTTCCGGTTAGGTGATTTGCAAAGTTCATCAGATCACGCGCGATTTGCGTAGATGCACTTTCTGAACTCATATGCCTTGTATGGAAAGTTTTTGCTTAATTATGCATACTTTTTCTAGTTTTGTAAGGGCAAGGGTCAGAATACCATGCGTATAGTTTTGGAAATAGTTCTTTGTAATTCTATAGTATAAATATGGCATAAAATTGCATATAAGCACTTAGAAAGTTCAGACATCAGATTAAAAAAGTATTTTGATGCCCGCGAGCCACAGCTCCAGGAGTTTTCCAGGGGGAAGGTCAGGGTCCGGCGTGTCCGTTTCTATGCTTTTTGGAAAGGACCCCCTTACTTTCGCAAATTTTACGAAGTCTCCTTTGGCTCTCAGCCCTAACTAAAAAACCCTAAAGAAACGAAACGTCGACTAAAAAACGTTGCATTTTTGGTCACAAAAACGATATTCCCTTCGCTTTTTCACAGCAAAAACGAAGTCCAGCCTGCTTCCATACGATCTGTACCGGGCCCTGAGGAAGGTCGTATAAAACTAATTATATGGGTTCCTTCAAGTAACTTGCCATGATTTATATAAAGGAAAATTAGTACAAAATTGAATATATGGGGTCCTTATCTGATTATGGTAATCTAAACTTCAAACTAGATACTTTTATTGGAAACAGCAGTCAGCGTCTAACCTGAGCTACTAATGATTACCTTGTCAAAGCAGTTTTGCAAATTTACAATGAAAAATTTTCTCAGAAGTATTTTTATGGATATCTTTCTCTACTACTGCACAATGAATGATGAAATTACGCGCGAATGTATATCTTCTATGTTTCTAGGTTCGGACAATTTGCAGCTTTGGTATATTTGAAAGTGATTTATAACGTTTATCGAGTCGCAAAAGTGGCTCCACACAAATTTAAGAATGCGAGAATGTTCTCATAACTTATAGAGACAAGGTCGCTTGATAGCACTTCGTTGTTATAATTGAGTAACAGCTGCAAATCTGCTACTATCTCATTACTTTCCAAACATAACAAAGATCAAATTTATTGAAGTTCATAGAACAATTTCTCAGAATAACAAGTGATTTTCGATTTGTCACCATGCCTTGACTTATTTACAATTCATCGAAATAAAGGTCGACATGATTTGAATTTCGAGAATAAGAGTACACAAATCACCTGTTTGCAAAGAAATTTTGAGTACAAAGCACTGGGAAAGTTGAAATGTGCGTGAGTAATGAACTTGATCTATGAACTTTTAACTCGAGCACTTTTTTCGATCTAGTGCGGGCACTTTTACTTGCACTCGTATCGAATTTCTGTCGGTTCGGCTCTTTATCACTCGTATATTCTGAGAGATATTGTGATAGTAAAAGCAACAATCAGGCTTAAACGCATCTTGACAACATTTTGGGAGCATAAAATAGTGAATAGAAGATCAAAAATATAGTGAATTTGTGAGAAACAGGATAGATATAAAATTTTAAAATTATTATATGAGCAAATATTCAGGCTCAAATTGGAACAAAACTGAAGTCAAAACCTCGTAGCCAGAAATACTTGAGAGTGAAGAGAAGAGTGAAGCCCTCTGGGATGATATCACACCACAAATTTGTTGTTCGTCATTTCTAACACTTTGTTGTAATAGTGGACATAACAATTTACATTGTACTAACAATGACCATAGCTTAAGAAATGGACATACTGTAATGCGCATTTGGATGATAATTTTCAAGAAAAATTATGTAGAGTTATACTGTAATTTTCATAATCGCTGAGGGTGGGAAATTGTTATTTTCACTTTTCACTGGAGCAGAAAGGTTTTGATACTGTTATTGTGCAAATTTTCTATTATTTGCAAAAAGTCGTGTACTGCAGTGGCAAGGAAAAATGATTTTGATCGCAATTAATTTTCCATGTACATCAAAGAAGATTCGCAATTTAAAGCACTCAAAAATAGTTAGAAAATGAATGTTTTTAAATTTTTATCGTATAAGTATTTTCTGGAAAGGATGTGCTGATATGAAATGATGACGTTTTATATACAAAACGCGATAAAATCTCCAAGAAAACTGTGATAAAGTTTGCTGATTAAAGCGAATCGTTATATAATTACCTATCGCATTTTTATAGCTTTTTGGTCGCACCACTGAGTCAAAGGTCAGTGCGGTAAGGTGATTTTCGAAGAGCAAACGATGAGGGCAGATTTATTCTCGCAAAGTGGGACCAATTGAGCGGGTCGGTTGGAGAGAATGAGGAGGGGGGGGGGGGAGTAAAGACATCGCAAAGCACTTTTTGACTTCTTAAGCATTGAGCAAAACTGCAATTCAAAAAGTTTATCAGATTTAGCTCCTTCAAGCACGTTATGAGCATTGTTAAAAACTTGAGAATCAAAATCTTAACCAATGGATCAAGAAAATATCCTTGAATCAATGTCGTGCTAACAGGTGTTAGAAAAAATAGGACGCACTTTTTCTGTACTACACAGCTGAGCAAGTTTTGCACTTTCTACTTCCTGGTTCTGTAAATACAGCAGATTCTTACTGAAACTCTTGGTTCAGCGACTGAGGGTATGTGTCCACGATCCATGGGTTTTGATATGATCAAGTTCGCAGCTTTTCCAATTTTCATCCTCCAGAAATCAAATAACGGATTGATAAAACAGTTCCTATAGCAAACATTATGCGCCGTAAATCTTTGAAGATTTATCGAAGCCACCGAATTTTAGCAAGCCTATCTCAGACACAAGCGCATTGAACACCAATAAATTTTCGGAATTTGAAACTTCCAAGAACGGATTATTACTCCACCAATTTAACAAAGCAATGAGCGAAATATCACACCTCAATTTTTCTAGATACAACTTCGATGAGTTTAGAAACCTGAGTTCATCCTCCAAAACTTCAATAGGAAATAGAAAACATCCAACAGAAAGAGAAGAAGAAGCAGCATCGAAAGACACCCGAGTTGCTCGCCGTTTCATGTACCCTATTTTCAGGTATATAAGCCGCACCCTTTTCGCTTTAAAGGCGAGCACGCCAAAAGACTGACTATCATCATGGAGCGCGATAAGTGAGAGCAGTATGCGATAAGGCGACCGCTTCGCGAGACATATGCGCGGCGGCAGGCCTGGGTCTGCTCGCGTTTAGAGCAAAAAGGGTGCGGCTTATACATCTGAAAATAGGGTACTTTGATCTTTGAGTTGACCAAATGTGGATTTAGGTGATTTGAGAAATTTTGAAAAGCGGACTGTAGATGCCAAAAATTTGTTTCCTCCCACCTGTTATTAAGCACTTCTAGAGCTCAAAAATGAAAATCCTTAAAAACTTAGTAAAGTTGGACATGTTAAAAATATGGGTTCGGAGCTTCTATGATAATTTTTAAGACCACAAGAGCAAATAGTTCAGAAAATGACTGCTGAAAAGGAAGAAATCGCTTCGAAAAGTATCCAGAGCGTTCATCTATCTTTACTCTCACGTTATGGTAGGTCAACAAAAGCGAAAGAACTTTCGGAACGACCTAATGATCTGTTTAGATCAAAAAGTAGCACAACGGGTTTGAGCGAAAATTTTGCGGATGAAAAGGCTTATGTCCATTTGGTAAAGGAGAATGTTTGGAATCATGGAAAACAGACAAGTGCCTTATAGATTGGGTTAGAATTAAAAGAAGAGGCCCGCCCTACTTTCAGCAGTCAAAAAGAACGAGATGCATGAGCATAACTGGTATCGGCTGCACAGACTTCCTGCAAACCACTACCATAAAAGAGCGCTGTACTCTTTGTTTGTTTATGCACGAAACGGGTTTAACATCCAAACGGTCCTGGAGGGGAGTTTTGCCGCTGTGGTGATTGATGAGTAGAGCAGTGGTTGGTATACATCCTTCTTTCGGTTTTATACAAAAGAAATGCCACAGTCATTCTGCATCAGAGGTGTCATAGAATTCAATGCAAAATAGGTAATATGTCATATGTCCTATTGTCTGTAACCTGGGCATATCGTGGTAACTGATTTCAATACTTTTCTTTACTTTTTTTCAACTTACTTTTACTTTCAATTTTCAATCGTGAATCGCAGTGACTGGCTCCTTTTAAGCCTTTGACGACGGCGTTGTGCCGAAACGTTAGGCATAAAGGGTCGTCTGTGACAACCTGTACGGCAAAAGAAAAGTATTGCAAAATAGGTATTTTCTTTGTTCAAAAATGCTACTCCCAGTTGTGTGAAGTACCATTGATTTTGGAATAAATCGCACTATAACAATGTATTCTGATTTTCGTAAGAATGTTCTCATGTGGGGTCTACTGTCGGACGAAGGCGGACTTCCCATGGATGTAAAGTGTATGCAAAGCGGTTCTAACGAGCATGAATTGCTATTTACTAAGGGGGACCCGGCGAGGTTCCTTTGGGAGCGGGCTGGAATTCGTTTTTGGGGCGAAAGCCAAGGGCATATCGTTTTTGTGGGAGCAGGTTTTTTTTTGTGGTTGCGAAGTTTGTAGCTAGTGTTTTTTTGGTTTTTTTGAGTTTAATTAAAGTCAGGGGATTTCGTTTCAAAAAAAAATCTAGAAACGGACTCAAGCCAGGCACTGCTACAAAACGCCGCGTTGCACCCGCTTCGCTTCCATGGGAAGTCTGCCTCAGTTCGGAAATAGAGCTTAGTCGGACAGTCATTGCTTACATTAATTCTATTCTATGGATCAGATTTCTCTACATTTGAACCTGTGTCTACCAAGTGACCTAAGATTTTTATCAAATCAACAAAGTAAACAGAGAGGAGACCTGAAACTGCGTCACACAGCGGATAAAGTTATCTAATGCCATCATTAAATACTACTGTTGGAAAAGTTCGCTACAAACAAACAAAGGCAAGTCCTATAGTTTAGCATAATCTGTTTATTTGTGGATTAATGGCCTTTTTCCGCTTATGCCACTTTCGATATTCACTCAGATAGCAGATTTATTCGATGCAGAGTAGTTTTTACTTTTTTGCAGGGTAACAAACAGTTTTCCTATGCTTTTCAGTTTTTTGGACAAAAGGAAAATAGTCTCCAATCAATTTTTCTTCTTTAATTTCTTTTTTCTGTGGAGGAGCAGCTTCTTGTTCTTTCCGACAACAAAATTTTTTTCAGTTCGCCTTAGCTAATATGATCGGAAGCTTTTCCATTCGTTAGAAATCCATCTGCCTGATTTTTTTCTGGCTAAAAATCAAGTTTTCAACTTTTTTTACTTTGTCACCAAGGACCAACTTTTATTTTTTTTAATTTTTCAAGTAAAATACAACGCACAACTAATTGTCATTCTCGATGCTCTCGAAACGTTTCGAAGGATCAAAAGGCTCTCTAGTTAAGGGAATCTCACGATAGTGCGGTATATACCGTACTTGCTTTCGAACGCTCCGTATAAGACAAGCAAATGAACACAAAATTATTGCTATACAAATAACCGGAATTAGAATGATCAGAGTATAAAATATGAGCTTATACATTTGATCAAGCAATACTGTCACGGCATCACCGAGTTGAGTGACCTGAAAATAAGGTATTTGAGTGCTGCAAACTATTTCTGCGACAGCACTGCACTCGCAACGCGTGTGCGATGAGTCATGCCTTTGACTTACTACAATCGTTGTTCCATTGAGTGTGACCCGTATGTCAGTGATGAGCTCATCAGTGTGATTAGCGACTCGGTCGATAGTCTGAAAGGGGAAAAGTGGAGAATTTTGTGAGTGAAAGAAGAAGATTGTTTGAATGAAATGGATGCAATATGAGTTCTGAAAAACAGTGATTTCCAAATATAAATTTTTTTGAAGATTTTTTTGAAGAAGTTTTTAGTTTGTAAGAAAACCTTATTGTCTGGAACATTATCTTTTGTTCTTTAACTTCGTGATAGATAAAACTTCCGGTCAATTCCAAAATAGAAGAAATTACGAAAAACGCGTGATTTCGCGAGTTTTGCGTGTTCTGTCGAAAAATATGGGCATCTACGCTATTTGTGTGCAATTGCGCGAAGACTAGAAGGTCAAAGTTGGCTGCAAAGGATCGTTTTCGAGTACGTATTTCTATTTAGAAATTCGGCAACTATCGAGAGCTCACCCACTGCCGTTGAAAACTGTTCAAAATTTTTTTATCGCTCTAGAGACATTTATAGTCATTTTTGCGTCTGGTGCTCCAATTTTATTACTTTTTCAAGTACGATGATAATATTATACTTACCCTTTGTATGTCCTCAAAGGCTGTGCCTTCAATGCGAATGGTCATCAGTACGTACAGATGAAGTGCTGAAGACGCACTGAACTGCGTAACTTGCTGCAGATGCTTTTGATCGATCCGGTCATCCTTATCAGGTGAAGAAGTTGAAACCGTTATTCATGGTCTTATTTGCATAGTACTGCTTCGAGCCAGGGTAATTGACCGGATTAGTTTCGCTAATAAGGTCATCTGTCTGAAAAGCTCAGGGGGGGTGGATCGTCCATGCTTGCAGTCAGGCTTTGTCTTTCTAGACGTGATATAATGCGAATTACTAAACGATCCTATTTAACTTTAGGACTGCATCGTAATTCCAAGATGGAGTTTGGAAAATGCTAACATGATCTGGAATAAGAGCTGAAAGACGCAGTGCTTGCTAGAGAAATTGTTAACCCTGAGCTGTTTTTCTTGTTCTGAGCAAATTTTACTTCTATAGCGTCCATACCTCAATGTGAACCTTCTTTCTTTCATGCTGTGTTTTATGACAGTTAAGTTAAATATTAGAACACCCGTAAGTCTTCGTAACTGGATTAAGTTGTCACAAGATGGTGGTTATTGATAATTTATTTTTTGTAAAGAACTTAGGGCCTCGGATAAAGGCGTGCTGCAAAAGTTTATCGGCTTCTATTGTATGCATGGGCGCTCCAACGATGATAGCTGCTCGACGCGTCCGCATCCGCTTTGCAGCGATAAGCCATTCCCTCTTATGCGGGACTAAGCTACCTACAGTCTTTTCCAACCCGGGGTAGGCGAAACATCCCAAGTGGAGCAGCGCGTCCGCACCGCCACTGGCTTAGAGAGATAGATTAGAATGAAAAGGAGCAGACGCAAAACGACGCGAATCGTTGCGAAGCGGTCTCCCGCCATCCTATTTTCCGCCTAAACTGTGTTGAAACTTACTGTACCTATACTTGTATTTAAACGATATCAGAACATTCACGTCAAAGCAAACATGTCAGCACAAGTTCATTCTCATAAAATCATGCTTAGATACGTAAGCGTGTGTATTGTCTTACAATTACATGTATACAACACGGAAATACATGTTCTTGCAAGCTAACTCGTCAAACCGACAAGGGTTCATCACCATCGATTTTCTTGTGTACAGCCTACCAAGTAATCATTTATTGGTTATGTCACATCATAATTCGCCTGCTTTGCGGTATAGAAGAAAATTTTGCAGAGCCCTGTTTCCTTTCGTGAACATGAGCTGCTCGCACTGAGGTGATTGTATACACTTATAATGGATGTCGCCGTCTGAACTCGATTGCTAATCTTTCATTGATTGGTGAGTTTTTCTTTAAAGCGTTTCTTTCGTCCAGGATTTTCCTAGAATTTATGAAAGGCATAAGAGGGAATCCTAATTTTATTGATTTGAACTTACGGAGTATGCGAATACACTTCCTCATCGGACGAGTTAATACATGCATGGAGTATAGTTTGTGTGAATAAGTCGCGCTGAAAGAGTAATTAGCGCTGCAGTCCGTAATTCATAATTTGAAAGATTTGCAGTCTAGCTACAGACTGTCTCAAGCGCAGTGTCCTCGTTGATTGGCATATCGTGCGCCTTTCGCGGCGTTCGCGCATGTTCGACTTGTCCAATCAAGACGACCTCATCGCCTGGAAGTTCGCACGCCACGCTTTTGCGCTGCAGATGCGTAGCGCACGTAAACGAGCGCATCACATTTAAGACAGACTATACCTCTACTGGAAAATGATAAAGTTCTCCAGGAAAGGACTACAGTTTTCTACTCCAATATTGTATAATAAATGTGACTACACTTTTCTACTTCAATATTGTATGATAAATGTAAGGCTAAAGCTATACCTGAGCATTACTTCCACCTATGGTATGAATTCTATCCCGAATAGGTACCATATTTTTTGCACAGCTACCGTAATCTCCTTTGATATAATGCGACAATCCATCATAGATGGATAATCCCACATCGCGGCAAATTTTTGCTTGCGTGTAGTCATCACTTGCTGAGCTGAGTAGGAATATTTACATCATAATATCAGCTTAACTTATTGCTTACTTGGCAAATTCCGTTAGACTTTCCCTCATTTTTGCTTCCTCATCATTGAAACCTCCTCGCTGAAGTGCTATACCTGAAAGTAGGCCATTTTAAGAATTGTGTCATTTTGGTAGCTAGTTAAGATCGTACTCATGTGAATATCGTTGAAAAAGAGCACATGGCTATCAGTATATTCCTTCAAACTTGGAAGGTCACGCCATCTGAAATCGAAATGTCAAAAGTCGAAATTCTTAATATTTCTCGCATCCGAGTAAATTTCACGGTCAACATAGTGCGCTTGCCGTTGCCGACAACATTTGCGCGTGAACCATGAAAGTGTGCAGTCTACAGCAATTGTTTACGCGCAAGTCGCAAGCAAGCCGTCGGTATCCACTAGCACTACATTTGTTCTCTTGCAAAAGTTACCGTCACCGCAGCAATATAATAGAAGCCGTCAAATTCATAAATAATTTACAAACTCTTCTTACCTATCGCCTACATTTGCCCCTTCAAGCTCCAATCTCCAAAGTATCGATACCGCATCTACCAGGTCAAGCATAGCACCACTTTTGACAGCTCTTGGACATATCTCACTGAAAATTGCCTTTTTACTTGTCAGTCACCCCTGAGAAAATATTTGTACTCACTTGTCAAATATAGTGAGGGGAACTTCATAGTCTGCATCCCTTTCTATATAATACAAAGCGTTATGCCAGTAATTATGTGAAGCCAACATCCAGCCTTGCTAAATTTTGATAGTTCACTTCTAGACCTCAGATAAAACTCTCAACAAAACTAATCCGCTCTATTAACATCAATAGAGATAAGCTCTGTAACTGCTAGAACATACTAGTGTCAGAGTTGTTCAAGCAACTAATTGTTATTGATGCTGGCAAAAATGGCTCTCGCAATCACTTGAACGAAGTTTTTCGTTTTCACTTTTCATGAAAATGTCATCGAAAAAAATGGCACCTCTCTCATGTATTGTCAAAAACAGTGACTTATTGTAGGAGTTTATGTTTCACGTCCCACACACTTACATTATAATCTAAATTGGAAACTGTAATGTGTGACTTTTGCAGCTGATATTGTCGAATGCGATTCTTTAAAATGCAAGGTAAAAGTACAAGCTTTCAAAATCTGAGAAGAATGTAAGTAATTCAAAACAAGATCTTCATATTGTCTGGTTTGTGAAAAAGCGGAAGGACAGATTCTCAGTTCTCAAAATAGACATATTTTTGCTCAATATACCAGGTTGTCACTGTAGTTTTGCACCAAACTTTTCGAAAATTCGTACCTCAATTTTCAATGGTTTATCTTGCAGATGAACTGAAGAGAGCAAGTTATCAGCTTTTCAGCGGTGCTTAGCAAGATCGTATATGGCAAATATCGACAACTCAAGCTGTCAAAAAAACAAAAATCTTATTTTTCCTATTGGAAAACGCTGAGACTAATGAAATCTGATATTTTTGGTTTTGGTTTTGGACCTGCCCTTGCAAAGTTCATGGTTTTCATGTTTTTGTATGCTCTTTTATTTTTCATAACAAATTTTGCAATATGCGATGAATTCAACATCAACCATCTGTAAGGGAATCAAAATGACATGCCGAATTTCTTATTGTTTATTTTTGGTGCAAGACTTATGGGACAATCTCAAAGTTGATGAGAAAATGTAGATAATCACCAAAACTTTCTACTGCTTCCGCCAATTCAGTAAAACAATTCTTACCTTCCAGTCCTCAACGGTGCTTTCTAGAAATTCGATGCCTTCGGTGAACCGCCCTTGCATCTCAAAAACATGAGCTCGTGCATGGGTTGACCAGCAGTCGTATCTGTTTGCTTCAAGGCCCTAAAACTTATCAACATCGAGCCTCACTGTTTCGTGTTGTCAAACTCACCTTCAAAGCCTCTTTTTCAGCTTCATCATATTGTTCGCATTCCTCTAGACCAAAAGCTAGCATTCCATGGAGATAGCTGAAACATGAGAATTATTCTTTGGCTAGTAAAATCTATAAATATAGCTTACCTGTAGCATGGCTCTGTGCCTTTATGTTTTGGTAAAACTGCATTGATCGAGTCACGAATTCTCTTAGCCTCTCCCAGATAAAAATATGTATCATGAGCTAGTTTGATCGCTAGTAAATCAGTTGGATAATCTTCGAGGATTAACTCCCAAGTGTTGGCTGCAGCTGCATGCTTTCTAAACTTACAAATTCTTTTCATTGTGTTTCGGCTAAAACATTCATGTACCCTTGCGCAAATTGTTGGACAGCTTTGGCATGCAGGATTTCTCTATCGTTTCCATACTTTGCAGCATCAATTTGTAGCTCCTCCAGGGCATTTCGCATTTTTTCATCAGTTCTGGCTCCCACAACCGTGCCTATGGCTTCGAAGCCAAGAACAAATGCGCGAGGGAGTACTGTAAAGGTGCTGTAAGGTTACGGTAGTGGTCCCAGACCTTGTGATAACTAGTGAAATAACTAGTGAATATACCCGCTTTATCATCGGCAGCAGTCATTGCTTCCATAGTTTTTTCGAGTCCACCCAATTGTTTGCAATCTGCCCAAGAGACGAATTGGCGCAAAGCTGCGTCATAGAGCTTGGCACATTCATTTGATGGTGTTGAGAGAGGAAGTCCAGAGCTGCGCCAACCCTTTAACCAGAGTTCTTTGTATGGGTCTAATGTTACATGGGATTATAAATGTCTGATATTTAGAAAATATCAACACTGTCAGTGGGTTTTCTGCTAACATTTTTCGGACGTTGAAAGGTCGAACTTCGAATTATTTTGAACCTTCAGAATAGGGCACGTCATTTTGTCATCATTGCATTGCATCAAACAAGTTTTTAGGATGATCAGTTTTGCAATCTGATTCCAAACTGCGAGGACTATTGATATAAGAAAAACAGTAGGCACTAGCTGTAAAAGTGTATTTATTGGATGTCGAAATGATGGAACTTATTTTGAACCTTAAAAATAGTCAGACTGATCTATAATATGGTAAAGCACGTCACTTTATCAAGCATCATTTACGAAGGCAAGTGCATTGGAAACTGTTTTGTTATCTCATTCTAAACTGCGAGGAGTATTGATAGAAAAAAACATGTTTTTTGCACTAGCGGAAATAAAGGTAGTAGAGGATCATGGCATAGAGTAACTTTTCAAGATCAATTTTATAAAGAAGATCAGATTTGAAGACTCTTCTAAGATTGACACTTACCTCAACATTTCGTAGATTCTCTGCACACCATTCAGCCATGATTGGTAAAAATATATCAGCTGAACTAGAAGGAAAGAGTAGTCTTCAACTTTAAATAATCTTTGTTGGCAAACTCGAAATTACATAGGAATATGTTTTGGTTGCAAGGTCCGGCGATGGAAATTATAAAGTAATGATAATGTTCAGAAAGAGCTGTTATGACAAACATATAACAGCAAGTAAGATTTCCTACAGAAGCTAAATGTGATTCAAAATCTTCCTTAGAAGCAATTTGGCTATCAGTCTTTTTTGCCACAGTTCAGAGGCAAAAGAGTGAACTGTGACCGTTCTAATGTAATTCTGAAATTCCCTTTTATCTTGAGTTGTCCCAAAAATTATGAGTATAGAACTGTTCAAGCTATTTGGCAAATGGATCAATCACGAGTACACAATCTGACAGAGTGAATGCAAGTATATCATCTGTACATGTACGCACAGATGCTTTCTCGTTGTAACATTAATCAGCGACGAAAACTTGATCGGAATCATAAAACGAGTTTTTCTTGCAAGGTTCTGGTTTTATATTTTTGAAAATTGAATTTGTTGGAACACTCCAATGAATTAAATTAGCTGAAAGGTTTGAAGTAAAGCCTGTTGCCGAATACTTTGCAGAGATAAGGCTTGCTTTATCATTGCCAGTCATAACATAACAAGATGTAGGAGAATTGATTACAAGACGGTTGATAGTGTTAATGATGCGAAGTGATGTTTTTGTCGTAGTAGGAGGGCGGGAGGAGGTCAGTTGTTCAAAGATCATTGATGTGATTGGAATGATTGTGTTATTTGTAACTTGATACGTATATTGCATAGCACGCGTGGTATTTTACGACTCAGGCGTTTACGAACTTTCAATTCTTAGAACGTTCCCTTTGTTTTCTTCTGCTTTAGGTGAAAACAAATATAAATAATGATTATTGAATGTTTCGTTTAATCGAAATGCTTTTTTTCACCATTTACGAGCACGAAGTCGTAAGATTTCGCGCGCGATGTGCAGCTTCACACAATGGAATGCAAAAGAATTTCTTTTAGGTTTTGGGACATGTGTAGGGTCCCTGTTTCAAATATACCGAATTGGAGAGCACTTTAAAATTTCTGGCATGATTACATTTGGGTTGCCCGCTCATTACTACGGTTTAGCAACATGTCCATTGTATTTTTCATTTCGGATTTCTTTCAGAAAGATTTTGGCCAGTTAAAGGCAATATCGCGAGTACATGTAGGAGTTGAAGTTATTTCTTATCTCCATTTCCTCTTTTTCGCATTGTTATCAAAATGTCTATAATCTGGAACATGATAACAGCAGATTTCTTATTATATTACGAATAAATATATTATCAAGCGCTTTAGACAAAACTGTTTCCACATTCGAGTATTCCAAATACTTTTGCCTCTTCAAACGGTAAGATTTTCTTCGTAAATGCACACTGAGTGTATGGTTCGAAAGTCGTGTGACCATTACCAAGTGACTCGAACAGTCTAAAAAGCCAAAAATTATTGAAAAACATATAAAGGTGTTGGCTGACCTGTGTGCATCCTCGTTGATATCGGGGAATTCTGATGAGAAGTACTTGTAGCTAGTGTCTTTGATCATGGACAATACACCAGAAAGCAAACTTCTTGCTACAACCTGAAAGATAATCATGAGAAGTGTAGATATCTTACTTTCCATAAGAATAGCTCAACTTTACCTCATTATCTGCGTAAAGGGGTGCGGTACAGAGTGTATTTGCAAGCGAAGTGCGAACGCTACAATATCCAACGATATTATTCGATCTGTCGAAGGCTACCTGAAATTACCACGCCGACTTATGATGTAAAAAATGCAGCCTGAAAGAGTGTGGAGCTTCAATTTATATAAGAGTCGCTGCTACGCAACTCGCGCGCAATAACGGATGTCTTTCCCTCCCTCTAGGTAGGCGCACTCTTATTGATACCCAGCCAGGTGGCGGTCCGCAGTAATTGCGTTTGGGATGAGGAGGGAGGGGGGGGGGGGGAGAAGACGAGAATTTTTTTTCTAATGGAAGGGACTTTTGTTAGCCACGCTCGCGCGCCTATAAGCCCAAAACTTTGAGAACAGGGGCAGGGCAGCAGCCATGTTCCAGAAATTTTTTTTCAGCAAAGCTCGTTTGGATTTCAAAAAGTAATTTTTTCGTTTACGAGCAAAATCAATTTATGCACAATTTTATATATCGTGTTGGTAACTTTCAAGAGACTGATTAAATGCAGCCCATCTTTGCGGAAAGGACCACTGCTCCTTACGTCTGCTTTCTACAATTTTTTTTGCTAAAGTCATTTTTCCAATGTGGCCTTGATGCTCCAAATAAAACTCTCTAGTTGAAATTCATCATCCCGAATATGTACCACTTTTCGTTAAAAGCAAAAGCAATTTGAAATTCTGACGACATCTTGCCAATGGCTGCGAACTAGTCAGTTATTTGCCTTGTCATCCTGTTTTTTATTTATTTATTTATTTATTTATATGTTATGCACAAGGAGTGCCAAAACCGATACAAACAAAGAAATAACTTCAAAAACTACCAGAAAAGAAAAAAACAAGAAAAACAACCATCAAGCAGTTCAAGCTCCTGAGGAGTAGAATGGAACGTATTAAGCTTGTTTATATCATTTAGAAATTCATCTCATTTAGGGTTCAATGTGGTCTGCCTCACGCCCCTGCTGGGTGGAGGAGCGAACACCTCAATTAGGCACCGCCTCCGCGGCCTACTGGTCCTAACACGATGCATAACAGTTCGAAAGGACCAGCAGCCCGCGGAGGCGAGGCCTAAATGAGGTGTTCGTTCCTCTACTCCCTCCCCCCCCCCCCTGCTTGCACCAAAAGTGCTCTTTGATCATTCAAATAGGCATTTGTTTTGTATGGCATCGCACACCATATTCGCTGTATCGCTTTTCTTTTTTAGACTGTATCGAAAGAAAAACAAGTAGTATTTGTGAGATAGTGTTCTAATACTAACCTTAACGTAGCAGTTATCCGTGCTTATAAAATTCTTGACATATTTTTCTCGCTTACGATGACTAATCGAAGCATCGTAGCTTGTTAGTTTCTCCATATCGACATCTTTCAAATCCTAGAATTATTCGTAAGAGAATTTGTGTTAGGTTATTTTAAAGTAACCTCCTTTTCTAAATAAATCAAGCTGTTTTTGTTTTCCTGGCAGAATTTGAGAACCGTTCGATAGAGCAAAGCAAGCTCTACAAAATGACCACGAAAGATCCGCCTAAGTCGTAACCCATGTGAAATTTGGGGCCAAAAGCCAAAATTTGTAACTACCGTAAAAATCGGATCTTCTTCCAGAATATTCCTATGGATTCCCAATTTAGTTATTATACACTAGTATAGTAGTACCTAAAAATGCATTTAGTGGATTTTTTGGTCTCAAAGTTGAGAATAAAAGTAGCACAAAAATGCAAAAATGTCACTTTTTTCGGGTTTTTCATGTTGAACTTAGTGTTTCTCAATTACCAGGGCCCACACAGAGGTAGAATTCTAAGGTTATATTACTAAGGTTTGAATATACAATTACATATGTGGGAAGAGCGAGGGGCGGGGTTTGCCATTTTTGGACTATCAACAAAGCAAAAAAACCACAAAAATGCTCCCACTGGTTTTTCTCGCTTTCCATGCACAGAAGAAAAAACCAGTAAAAGCAGTGAGCAGTATTTTTTAGCACTACTTTGGGTTTGCTGTATAACGACCATGGAGGTCCGTAGGATTTTTTTCGCAAAAAAGAACTTTCTGGTGATAGAATTTTTGATTTAGGCTCCAAACGGTCATTCTGTAGGGCTGCTTCGCTCTCAGATGGCCCCGTAATTTACCAGGAAAACGGAAAAAGTTTTATTTATCTAGAAAAGGAGTTCACTTTTGGACTACCTTATAATGCGGGCCTTAAACCGCCTACCTTTAGGATATAGCTTGGGTCAGCTTTAGGAATTACAAGATGTTCCGGAGCAATAATAACAATAGCATAGCACCTTTATGTTGATAAGGTAGTACTTTATCAAATCCATACTACTCAGCGTAGATTTTAGTCATTTTCATGACTAAAACAAAATTCACACGTGGGAAATTTTTCAAAACAATGTATGAAGTAGATAAACCTCCATGCAAAGCCTTATTGGAATTTTTTCCAATCTCTAGAACTTTCTTGAACAAAGCCGTTCCTAATCCGATATGTCGCCAATCTTCACGTACATAATAAGTCCTTATCTATAAGGCTTGCATAAATTTTTGTAGTAAATTGACCGCAAACTTACGCAACAACAATCGTCTTCATCTTGCCCGGAAGTCGAACGATCATAAGCCGTTGAAATAGAACCAATAATCTCATTGGTGTTTAAAGACAAATCAGAGATAATCTGCAGCTTATTTGAGTGTAGTTATCCAAAACAGAATGCCTTTATCAAAAGCTGCGAATAGCCAGAATTTCTCAAAAGAGTTCAGCTACGTTGTGTAATCTTCTACAGTTAGTGACCAATCAACAGTTTTTGCAATCTAGAAAACTTCTTGCAAAATTATCCCCGTATATCATTTATTAGGTTGGCACATAAGTAATGCAACTTTTTATATAACTTTTGTCTATTTGAACGTAGCGCATTCACTTTTTGGCAACATAAGGAATATGATGTAAGCCTCTAATGCACACATTTTTGCCGAATTTTATCTTCTTATTTGAGGATTACGGTAAGTTTACGGTACTATGGGAAAAATTTTAGAATACATCAGATTTTGCTGAAACTTGGCCTATAGGGCTTATTTGAAATGCTGATCACAAAAATGAGATCCGTTTTGCATGAAAAGGCCTCGTTCGTGAGATGAGAAGATGAATTTCATTTTAGCGACGAATGAATATGATATTCGTGTTTACCGCATAGGATTACCCTATAGTGCAAAGTTATAGCGAATTCTGACTTTTCGCAGCTTAGTTATTGACAAATTGCCTTCAAAACTTGACGCATTTGACTTGTTCAACTTCTCAAAGGCGCCCCACCTTAATTTGTGCTTAAATTTCATTTCTTTTTCACTGATTCCAATGTGCCAACTTCCAGCTACATGCTACTTATGATTGCTTTTTCATATGTTTGAATCAGGTTTCGTAGGGCTTCATGTTTGCCAAAAAATTGTGAAACCTCGATTTTCAGCAGTTTTCAAAAAATGCTTAGATTTTTTGTACTAAGTTATCAAAAATCAAACGGTTTGCGCAGACTTGCAGCTTACATCACGATCTACATGATGCCACGAAATGAGATTGCTACATAAAATAGGAAAAAAGTTACGGGAAAAGTTGCAAAACTTATGTGCCAACCTAATACTTGAAATGTTTACCAACTCTGCCATGATAGCCCAATGTTCGATGGGTGGATTCAGTACATATTTTACTCTGCTCAATGACTTTTCCATCTACGGGATTTTCACGTATGGCACTGAAATTGTTATCAACAAAGAAGCCCATCAAGAGAGTTTACTGTGTATAACATACTGTAAAATTGAGTGAGAGAATGTTTCACACATTAATAAAAGGTTTGTGATAATAGGAGCAGGGCTCGACACAGATGGCTTGTAAAGCAAGCTGGATATCGTTAAAGCAAAGGAGGTTTCGTTTTTGTGGCCGAAAGGCGGAAAATTTTTGCGACGTTTTTTTGTCGACGTTTCAATTTTTAGAGATTAATCATCAGGGGGACTTCGTTTTTTGCATTTTTCAAAAGCCACGTGTCGAGCCCTGAATAGGAGAGCATGTAACTGTCGTGTCGAGCCCTGAATAGGAGAGTATGTAACTGTAAAAGCTGGCACTGATTGTATCACTGAAAAACAAGAACGGCAGGCGTTGAATTCGCCAAATCTCGAGTCTAGCCATATCTTGCGGCAGAGGGACCAATTTTAAGTCCTATATCACCATTTGGCTCAACGAGGCGCATTTGGATACATGGAGGTGCTTGTTTGGGTACTTGAGTGCCCATAGGCGGTCGCATTTCACGAATTCTCCCAGGTTTTTGCTCAAACTGACCATAAATCTCAAGCGATTCATGAAGAACCGTACTGAAACAAGCCAATATATAAGATGCGTCTCGTCGAGCTGTATTGAATGGTTTGGATTTAGAACTCCTCCACCCTGAAGCAAGCATATGGCGATGCGAAGCGAAGTTCCGCTCACGGCGACCAGCACTTTAATTTTTCAAGAATTACGAGTGGTATTGTATATATTAGGTCGTTTCAAAAGTAATTTCGCTTTTTTCAAACGGGCGCAACATTTGATGGAACAAAGGTTTCCAAGAGATCTTGGAAGCATTCGATGCAGCATTTCATTCTTTTTCTAACGGTTATGAAGTTGTTGCAAAACAGTCAATGAGCTTTCTGAAAATAACCAAAATCTGCGACCCATGCTTTTTGAGATGGTCAAGTTCCACGATTTTTCAAAACTTTCATATCAATCCTCAGAAGGAGCTCAAGGAACGATTCGATAGAGTAGACATTATAGAATACAGTACTGCTTTTTTCTTTCTCGTAGCTTGCCGTAATTTTTTAGAAAATTTTTTAACAGAACCATCGGATTTTGGCAGGCTCACCTCAGCCACAATCGCATCAAACATCATGATTTTTCGGAATTTGAGGCTATCAAGATAGTACTATGAGTTGGCATTGATTTTACAAAGCAAGTGAGGGTTTACGGGTTCGAAATATCAAATTTCGAGTTTTTCGGGTACAGCCTGGGGCTCGCCGAATAAATGAGTTATGATGATATTATCCCCGAAAACTAAACGAATCAGAAACAAAAAACATCTGTTAGAAAGAGGAGAAAATGCTGCATCGGATAGTGTGCGAGCTGCTCTTCCATTGATGTTCTACGAGGATTTAGCTACCCAAGTATGGAAATCGATAGCATCAGTTAAAGTTCTGTTAAAAATGTATGACAAGCTATGGAAAGGAGAAAAAAGTGGTACTGTAATCTATAAAGTTTACTCTATCGAATCGTTACTTGAACTCCTTCTGAGGATTGATATGAAAGTTTTAAAAAATCCTGAAACTTGACTATCTCAAAAAGCATAGGTCGCAGGTTTTGGTTATTTTCTGAAAGCTTATTGAATATGTTGCAACAATTTCATAGCCATTAGAAAGAGAATAAAATGCTGCATCGAACGCTTCTAAGATCTCTTAGAAACCTTGGTTCCATCAAATGTGGCGCCCGTTTGAAAAAAGCGAAATTACTTTTGAAACGACCTAATATTTGCGAACCAATGCGAAAATGATCGCAAAAAAAATCGATCACAATTTTGTAAGATATGCTTGCCTATTTTTTACTTATATAGACTGCACCAGCTCTTCGCTCTTCTTTATAAAAAAAAAGCCAAAAAATGATTTGGATAATGTACGGACTTTCTAGACATTAGTCAAGCCCAACATGTGATCTAGACAAGAGAAATATTATTACAAAGCTGCGATTGTCAATTCTGTTTTCATAAAATCGGGTCTGTACCATATTTTTCGGCTTATAAGTCGCAATCATTTGCGATTGTTCGCTGCGGCTGGTGCGGCTCATGGGCCGAAAAATAGAATTTTTGAACGCTGGAGCTTAGCTTTTGAGAAGATCACTGATTGATATTCTAGCGAGAAATCTTTGCTTCGAGAGATACGATAAGGAAACCATTCACAGCATTGAATGCTTTATTCTTCTTCTTTCTAAGTCAATACAACATTGAAGACGCCATGGAATTCTAATGCGCGGATTAACACTTTTCGTATTGAAATTCAGCACAAATGGGAGGCGAATAATGAATAAGGAGGTAGGTAAGGAGGAGGAACAAAATGGGAATGAAAGACAGATGGCTTTTAGGAACGTAGCGAATTTACTAGAAAAGTGAACGGAGAATAGACAAAGAAGTGAAGTGAAGACCATGAAATGATTGAGATACTTCGTGTGTTTCATCGATTTGTAACAGATTGACACGAAAGTGAGTCATCAGTCTGCTAAGGCCAATACGTGAGATAAATTATTAAACAAACTTTACAAAGGATGATGTTTTCTGAAATTTGCAGCTAGTCGTTCATTAATTGATGAGTTCTTGTTGAGGGCGCTTCTTTCTTCCAGAAGTGTGCTGAAATATTTCTGTTTTATTTATCTTTCGAAATCAAAGGATAGTCCCGGGCAAAGTCGATGTTTTCACGCGAAGCGGGCGCGAGCGTGGCGATCGAGCGACTATCATTGCTGGAGCGCGACGATAGTCACACGCGCGCCGCATCCGACGCTTTTTCTCTGCTTTTGTTCGGAACTAGCCTTTACATACCAATGCATTAAAAATGGAACTTACTTGGTTTGATTGAAATGCTCTGGATTTGTAGATAAGATACAAGCCTGGATTAGCGTCTGCGCGAAAAGGTCTCGCTGAAATTGATTTTTGGATTTCGTACGTGATTTTTCGATTGAAAGAAAATGGAAAATTACCTGTGCATTGCTTCCACCAATTTTATAAACCTGATGTCGTATCGGCAACATTTTTTCTGCAGCTTCATCATATTGTCCTTTACCATACAATCGCATGCCTTCACAAAGTGCTAGGCCAACTTCTCTACAGACTTTTGTATTGTCCTCATCACTATTGCTAAAGAATCATGGAATATTTTAGAAATGGTGCGACGAGAGAGGCGGGTCGTGTGGAAACTTTTTATGATGTAGAGAACAGCAATGAAAAAGAATCTCTGACAATGATCAGCTCTCAGCACGATAAGTTACAACATGTGATGGTTGTGCCAGTTGACCAATCCAACACCGCGTTGGTGGCGCCTTTTATCGTTTTATCACTTGGCAAACAATTTCTCGGACACCTTTTTTCCAAAGTTTAGTCTCTTTCAAAGATGTATGATAAGCGCAAAAATGTACAACTGTAATTCGCATATTATTGAGTATGTGGGCGGAGACCACAGTGAATGGGGCGGAGTTTGTCAATTCATGGCCGTCAAAATGCTCCCTCTTTCTGCTTTAGCGTTAAAGGTTCACAAAAAATTTGAAGACGGGCTGACCCCCTCTGCACTCGAAGTTTTGGCCCTTCGCCTCCCTTGCGAAAAATTTCTGGACCGCCACTGGTCCCATCACAGCTGTATGCGCAGCAGTGGCATAGTCAGGATCTTCGTTCTGGGGAATTTTCAAATAAAAGTTTGTGGCGCTTGCCACCGAAAAAATTTTTTGGGATGCCTTCGAAAATTTTTGCGACCCATAAACCCGAAATTGGCCCCCGATTATTTTGATTACTTACAAGTATAAACAAGTCATTTGCACATTTTTATAACCCATGTAGGTGGCTTTCAAAAATTTCACGACCCCGTCCCGGAGAGGGGGGAGGGAGGGAACAAAAGCTGCCCTAATGTTTGTGCGAGACTCACTTTGTGTAATCGACAAGGGTACTGTAAAGGTTTTCTTCTCCAGCTTCATCTCCTTGCCTTATGAGTGCAATACCTATAAATTCATTTGCCATAAAGTTAGTAGAGCTGTAATCCCAAACTAACTTACCAAGGTGAGCATCATTAAAGCAGGTAACATGGTCATTCAGATGTGTTGACATGCTTGGGAGCTCTTTCCACCTCAAATCATATGCTACTAGTAGGAAGTGCAGAAAATCAATGCACTGAAGTGTCACCTGTTTCCAACATCAACTCCTTGGAGTTCTAATCGCCACAGTAACGAAGCAGCATCGCCCATTTCCAAAACCGATTGTTTATTTTTATTTGCGCGCTTACAAATTTCTCTGAATTAGCCACATTCATGCTATGATTCAAAAAAGTGATGTGAACGCACTCGTCAAATATGGTCAAAGGTGTTTCATAGTCTCCTTTTTCGATATAGAATAGAGTATTATGCCAATAGTTATGCGTAGCAATGATCCATCCTGGCTAAAAATACATGATCAGTCACTTTTAGCTAAATTTTCAAATTCTAGAGAATTCCTACCCTCCACTCATCTACGGTACTCTCCATGAAGTTGAGACCCTCATCGATACGTCCTTGCATTAGCATGCAATGAGCCCGCGCATGTGTTGCCCAACAGTCGTAGCGATTCAGGTTGAGGGCCTAAATGATGAGCTTGGACTACATAAGAGAAAAAAGGGAATGGAGAAAAACTATCTCATTAAGCAACTTAAATCATCACATTTCGGAAATTTTCAGAAAATTTACAAGTGAAATTGCATGCGTTTTGCACAAAGGACGTTCAATGGGTTCCAAGGTAGTAAAGGCTAGTCCCTGACGAAGGCGGCTGCTCATGTAAGCGAGGCGTGCGCGAGCGTGCTCTAGTATGAGAAATGCTCGAACTCGGCACTCACACCCTCCGAGATAAACCGTTCGACTTCGTCAGTAATCATCCATTATAGGCGATTTTACATTCTTCCGTCTAAATTTTAGTGTTTCGAATCTTCGAGAATCTTGCAAGACTTCCCAAATTCGGTCGGGGGCGCGATTTCCTTGATTATATGTGTTTTTTTCTAAATTATGTCTACGCTCTGTCTTAATAGTGTCTACGTTCTATCCTCAAACGCGCCGGCGTTAAGCAGTCTAATCGGTCACCACGCGAGGCTCTCGCGCTGCGGATGCGTAGCCGCATGCAAAAGGGACATTGCGAATGACGCAGTAGATCCATGCTGCCGCATGCACATTGTCTATAGTGATTTACTTATGGAGAATTCAATCATTGCTGGACTAAGGACTATTCGCTTTAGCGAAAAACTTTTTTTTGCAGAACTTAGTGCAATGAAAAATTTTGCAGACTAAAAACAATTTGTTCTACCTTAAGAGCTTCCTTTTCCGCTTTATCGTATTGCTCACATTCCTCTAGTCCGAATGCCCACATTCCATGAAGATAGCTAAATTCAGTTATCTTATACGAAGTTCAAAATTATTTTTTATACCTGTAACAAGGCTCTGTGCCTTTATGCTTTGGTATCACTGCTTGCACTGAATCTCGTTTACCCACTCGGTCACCCAAGAAAAAATACGCCTCATGGGCAAATTTTATGGCCATCAGATCTGTGGGATATTCGACCAGTATGTCTTCCCATATCTGAGCTGCAGCTCGGAGTTTTCTGAAATTCATTTTGAGTGGTTTTATCGAGTGGACGTAGACGTACTTACCCTTGAGCATAGAGCTGCGCTGCTTTGGCATGCTTTTGTTCCCTTTCGTTACCGTACTCTTTAGCATCTTTTTGGAGTTGTTCCAAATTCGCTCGCAAGAGCGGGTTTACCCTTGTACAAGAACTCGTTCCAAGTCCCTCTAGGCCAAGGCGAAACGCTCTTGGAAGTACTGAAAATTTTCAGCTTGTTTCAATGAAATTTCTCTGGTCAGGAGATTGACTTACTTGCATCCGGATCTGAAGCTTTCAAGTCTGCCAGCGTTTTATGGAAACCTCCCAAAGCATCACAGTCTGACCAGGAAACAAGTTGCCTAAGAGCACCATCAAAGAGTTTTGCGCACTCATTGGAAGGTGTGGTCATGGCGAGGCCAGAAGCTCGCCATCCCTGAAAGTGTTTTTGGTTAGATTTCATGTGTACTTCAAAGATTTAAGTCGGTGTCAGCTATCTATATACGTGCTTAAACCTACGTTGATTCAATGGTTTATTTCCCGTGAACAGTGCACATTTACTGAACATTTTCGAAAAACAGTTTATATTCGATGTTTGGTCTGCTATATGTTAAAGTTTTCTCTCGAATCGTTACTTGCAAATTTGCTATTTTCACAATTCGTGCTGATTCTTTCAATCAACCCATGCAGCCTTCCTTTACATTTTCAAATTATTCTCGACTATTCACGAAATCTTACGCTTTTATTCATTTACTTGAAACACTCGAGTGTGCTCCAAAAAAGCAGAAAATCATGGTGTTGGGAAAAACCAAAATTAACGTCAGATGCCTTGAATTTCCAGTTGTAAGATTGTCATATGTTTTTTTTACTGAAGTTCCAAAATCTTCTTTGTCTCTTCAAAATTCTGATTTTTTCAAGGAAATGTTGGAATTCACCTCCAAATCGCGTAGCTTTTCTGCGCACCATGCTGCCATACCGTCCCTGATCGATAATTGACCCTGGAAAAATTATTTATGATCTACTTTCTAGTATCGTGCTCTTAGATTTGAAAGGATAAACCAAAGATGAGCGATATGTCATATACACAGAGTAATTTTGGAAGAACATCAAGATTGCTAGAGAGTGGTGTACAAATGAGAAAACGGGAGGAGGATAGCGCTCTGTGCTAACTAGATCAGCTGTTTTGACCGAAATTGAGGTGGACGGTTCAACTTTGCAGATGGCATTCATTCATCGATTTTTTCCTTGTTTGCTTGGTGGTTTTCATTTTCGAATCTAAAATTGCTGTTTGCCAGAGTTGAAGTCGAATACATATTTCTTCATGATCTCATCACTATTAACGTCAATTGATATAGCAAACATGAGAGAGTAATAATATATTATCCCAAATATCCAATATTGATCCTTTGTTGCAGTTTATTAAAAGGCCATGATTTCTTTCACAGTATAGTTGCCTTCATTTGAAAACGTTTTTGAAAGCTTGGCAGTAAATGTTCCTCAGCAAAATCTTCTTCCGTTTTCTCTGCCTATTTTTATCGTATCTGCAGGTATAGGAGTTTCATTAGGACTGTTCATCGAAACTCCTAATGTTCTCAAAACTTTCAAGTTACTGGATCAAGGTCTACTTCCTTTAAAGTATGTGCTTCACAAGAAACTGGCTTGAAAGGCAGCTCTAGATTGCGCGATCACATGAAAAGGTTGGGAACTCATTATATTGGCTCAGATCCCAATTTCGGTTATCGTGAAGGTTTTTGAAGAATGGTAAATATTTGGAAGTGAGAGAGAAACGATAACATAACAGATTTCCCTTCAATGGGATTAAAAATGTTGTGAATAGAACAAAAACAACCCATTTTTGACTATCAGGCATTTTGTAAGTTTTGCCCCCACCCTAGATTTGTTTTGTATTTCGCAGAAAGCAAACTTCATAAGTCCAAAATCGGAAGATCATATGGTCTTCAAATTATACCTTCTCGAGAATATTCTGGAACATGTCATTCGTTTTAGAACGTTATCAATTTCAATACGTTAGCCGAATAAAGCTGATAACAATTTGGTTTTTAGTCAGCTGAGAGAATAATCTTGAACATGTCATTTTCATTGATGAGAACGCGGAATTATTCCTGCATCTTCCTTCACACATTTGCTTGCGTAGAATTAGAGCGATTTTCATCGCCCAAAAGAATGATGTTTTCACTGAAAGAGGATTAGAATGATTGTTAAAGTTGACGATCCCTAACTTTTCCAAAACAAGATATCTCACTAGTATCGTCGTACAAGAATATATATGAACGTCAAGTGTTTATGCTATAGGACCGGCTTGTGCATCATACTCGTAACAGGCGTATAATGCTTTGAAGAAGTTGAGCTGCAGGCATTTGCCAGCTTGATGCGATTAGTGAAGATGTGAAGGTAGACAGAGTTTTGTACATCATACCTTATGTCCTTCGATATAAAGTTAAGCTGTCTTTCGTGTAACAATGAACGGGAATTTGCTCAATCTTGCATATGTATTCAATATGTTCTTTTAGTGATAAAAGTTGCAAAGGAAATTCCTGAGCAATGCAAACAAAAACTGAAAAAAATATGGAGTTAGGTTGTAAAGAAAACTCTCAAATTAAGACTAATTTCTTGGGCTCAAAGGCATGTACAAAAATAAAATGTGTACTATCCACTCATGAAGTAACTTTTTTTTGTAAATGACTTGAATAATTCTTAAAAATAAAAAATTTTTTGGAAGGGAAGGGGGGTGAGGGCAAGAAAGTTGAAAAGACAGGCTGGGAAGCATCTCAAATATTTTTACTCGAAAATAAGTTCTGTCCCCCCCCCCACTCCCACTGCCCGAACGAAATTTTTCGTACAGCTACTGTCTTATATTTGTTGTGCAGATTTGAGCACGTGGGAGTCGAGAATTGGTGTGGACAGAGCTTCCCACTTAATTTCTGTCACTAAGAATGTTACAGAAAAAGGTAGTCCAAAATTTTTGTTGAAAATATTCTATTACATATGCACCATATAACCAGTTTCCTTACATAGATAAAATCGCTCTCCGCCAGCAAACGAGTTTTGAGGGGCGTTTTTTTCGCAGACAAGCGGATTAGGCTTGAAATAGGAGTCCCGTAAATGTGACCTTTGAAAAAAAAGCTTTTCCCTTTTTTTGCAAGTCCTTTGTCTGCAAACTGAGGGGGAGGGGGTGTACTTGGCAGGTCCGTGTCTTTTTGTGCTGACATCTATCAATTTCTATTCTTTCTTATGTCTTCGGCTACAATACACATCGAAAAGTCAGAAGTAAATCAACAAAGTAAATCGTGGAAGTATCTGAGATGGTCATTCTATATATGAAAGTTTATATTAGGTGGAACGAAAGTTCGTTCGCACCATTTTCAAAAATTCATAACTTCTGCTTTTTTCAACCGATTTGCACGTTTTCGTGTTTATCTGAAAGAGCAATTCATTCTCTTCATAGCGCTGTCTTAGCAGCTTTCTATTGAATACTCTGCGTGGATATACGCGATAGAAGAAAATTACTCAAATTTTAAATTTTCTGTGTAGGGTCATAAGAAATCTGAAACCTCTGGTAAGAATTGGAGCAGTTGGTATTATAGGTGATTTCACCAGCTCTTTCTAACTCTGCAAAATTTGCGCTGATTGATCTTTTCTATGAAAAGTTATGATTTTCCTGAAAAATGCCAAGATAAATCAAATTCGCCCTTTTGTATTGCTTGCTCGAAAATCATAACTTTTCATAGAAAAGCTCAATCAGTGCAAACTTTGCAGAGTTGGAAAGAGCTGGTGAGATAACCTATAATACCAACGCTCCGATTTTTACCACAGGTTTCAGATTTTTTATGACCCTACACAGAAAATTCAAAATTTGAGTAATTTTCTTCTATCGTTTATATCTAAGCAGTGTATGCCCAATAGAATGCCGCTAAGACATCGCTATAAAGAGAATGAATTGCTCCTTTGGGTAAAAATGAAATCATGCAAATCGATTGAAAAATGCAGAAGTTATGAATTTTTGAATATTGTGCGAACGAACTTTCGGTCCAACCTAATATAACAATTTCCTGCAATTTTGGGCATGAAAATTGGTTCCATTGTTCTCCTTTAGAATGGTTTATCACGGTCTTCATTGCCTCAAACTGTCCTTTCATCTGCTATCAGACCATTCTCATATTTATCTATAGATCATTCAATTATCTCGCACAAACATCTATGCCCTTTGAACATCTCTTTTTTCAGATACGGTACTTGTGCAACAGTTACTTCTCGATGTGTTTCTATTGTTCATTATCTTCAAATGAACAGTCCGGTCCGAAAAAGTGTCCTCGATTTTTTTTCACATCATGATGGAGCAAAAAACGTTTGTGAAGATGAACGTGACAGGAGAAAAAACACTTTACGCCATTAAAACCACTTTTTTTCGCAATGTTGCGAAAAGCTTGTTCTTGTTTATTTCTTATAAAGTGCAAGAAGGTGAGAGGATTAATAGGGCAGGGCTTACGTCCTTATCTATGTTTCAGGCTTTTTGAGGCAATTCGAAATTTGAGTCGCACAGAACATCACTTTCCGGGAAATGCGAAATGAATTGTTAGTCTATGACAGACTGTTAAAGGCAATGTCCGGGCAAAAAACTCAATTCTGAGATTTAGTGCTTAGTCGGGCCTATTTGCTATGGGGAATCCGAATATCCACACCAGAAAGCGCGAAAACGGCGAAAAAGGGGTCTAACAGGGAAGGGTAATCAGCAGGTGGGCGGGGTAATCCCCACTGTGAATTTACGCTCCCAGCTTCCGGAGCAATCGCCTCGATTTCGCTAGCCGACATGACATCTCCACCGGCCAAATGCGAACATTTGACTTGTAATCGGAACCGAGAAGATCGCTCCGGAAGCTGGAAGCATGAATTCATAATAAGGAAGACGCCGCCCACATCTGACTTCCCCTCCCCCTGTGTTAGAACCCTTTTCTTCTTCTGCCGTTTTCGTCCTCTCTAGTGTGGTTTTTCGTATTCAGCATAGCGAATAAGCCCGGGTAAGCATAAAATCTCAAAATCGACTTTTCGCCCGGACACTGCCTTTAATATCTCACTTGATTCATTGCATTTTACCAGTTGCAGTGATATTCCGTTCCACTCAAATCACCACAGGTTATTTAAAATAAAGTCACGATCAAGTGGCGAAAATAAATTTTGTAAATGTCAATAGATTCGTCTTTTGCCGAAAAATCTCTGTCCTGAAATCACAACGAGTGTGACCATAGCAGGTGCTCTTCAAAGGAAAACTGGCCCTATCACGTAGAGCGATCATAGATTTGATGGATACTTGTCTAGTTATAAGGTCATAACGAAAAAGTAGGCTGCTTTGGGTTACTACTAGGACTATTTGGGCATCTTTCTACTCAACTGAAAGTGCTCTCATTAACCAGCTTTTGCTTGACGTCGCGATCTCGTTTTGGCTCGCTTTTTGATCGAACTAAAGAAAGCTTTTCTCGCCAGACGAGAAAGTAAACTTTCTAGTCAGGAGTTTTCACCGTAAACGCAGCCTATTTAGAGCACTTTACACTTCCAGATTTGAAAGATCAAAGCAGCTTCAAGACTCATCGTAAAATCGCGGTTTCGAAAGCAAGTGCGTAAGTCTAATTGTAAGAAACTATTCTTGTTGGAGCTAGATATTCGAAAGGTCAGTCGCAATGTTTATGCGGATATTTACAATTTCTGGAGAACTAATAAGCTTCAGGGAATTCTTCCTATAATTGAATGATAAGATGAATAGTTAGAGTTCCCTATGTAATTTCTATATTCGGAATTGGTCTATGCCCTTACTTCTACTAGACCCTTTACCTTCAGGTAGTACCCCACTCTTCCGAATTTTTAGCGCAAAAGTGATTTTGTATGGTGCAAAATGCTGTTTCCAAATAAAGTCACGAGTGCGATTGATATGCACTCTTGCTCGGAAATCTTGAACTAGCTATCCCCAATACACTCAACAGACGGGTTTTTAGCTGACTTGGTGAGGGGGGGGGGGAGGAGGAGGAGGAGGGGAATGCAGGATGCACAGCAGAAACTTGTACATTGTGGTGTGACTGTTCATTTAAGAAGTAAACTGAATTACATTGAGGCGAGACCGGAAATAGCAAAAAGTTGACGTAGAATTTTCTGCAATGAAAGTTTGTCGTCTAATTTTTATTTGTATTTTGATCTCGCAAAATGGTGTTTATTGGAGCGCATTGGTGATGACTATCCTCTAGTCATGTGTTAATATGTGAGTCTGCACATTATGCGCGGCAACCGACGACATTTTCTTATGTATCCCTCTATAACCCTCTTCTAGCGTGACATATTGAAGAAATATTTTTACTGACTATTACATATTTAATTAAAAGAGACAGGAAAACAAGAGAAATAGTTAAAAATGAACATGTTCTATCTTACAAGTCGTCGAGTGGAACGCATGGTGTGAAGTACGCACAAGTTACAAATGACTCAACAATTACAATAAAACTGCCAAAATATACTGTGGAAGACCAAGTAGTCCAACACTGACCAATCCGGTCGAGGTCCTTTTTTGCCATCTCAATTTCAAAGACTCAAACAGGTTCTGCAAATTCACAGTAACCTTCACTACAACCTCTGATCAAGTCTTTAGTCGAAATGACCTCAACATGTGCTGGTTCTTTTCTTCAACGAATCTTATGATGACTTCCGCTGCCGAAGCGAGACGGAAACGGAAGAAAATTTTTCGCAGTTTCGCGCTGAATAGGTTATTGTAAGTATTTACGGCAGATAATCAATTTGCAGAGAACGACGTATTTCCGGTTATTTTGCAAAGATGAACTCTGAATGTCATATGAGTCAGATAGATATTTCACTGTAAAATTATTTAGAGCAGCCAACGTGGCGTCGGAATTTTTGTACTTTTTCCGAGATGGTGCGGTAATGGAAGTCTGGGATGCTTTCGTTTCTATTCACCATAGAAGGGGATAGATCTACAGAATTAGGAAGAGAAATTGTTATTGAATGCTAGCAATGTATGGGGAATGCGGAAAAAGCGGGTATGACGAAAATTTTTGGGTTAATAATCGTCCAAATTGCCGAGTTCGGAGCTGCATAAGGGACTCGATGGTAGAAGAGAACAACATAGATCAGTGGTGGTCCAAAATATTGTTCGGGGAGGGGTGAGGGGTAAATTTATTTCTGAACGAATTATGGCCCTAGCTATCAGTTTTGAAAATTTGTGTTGTTTCCTTAGTATTTTTGATAGCCAATATATCCGATTTTTTTCGCGCAGAATTTGAATTTTTGAAAGTTTCGAAATTTGTCCCAACTTCTTACAGTTTGAAACAATCCTTTTTCAGATTTTTATAACTCATGTAAGACATCTGTAAAATATTCAAGATCTTTGTCCCTACTGCATCTGTCTTTATTGAACAGAAGCCAACCAAAACTAATAGTTTTTTTAGCTCTATTTCAACTAACTTTTGTAAAATTTGTTCGAAATTTAGGCTAGCAAGTTGAGAAAAAATTTTTGCATACATTTTTTTATTTGAGATTCGAGATGCTTGGAGCAGCTTCGGGGGCAACTTCTCTTGAAACTTTTTCTAAGCGACTTGCGCTCTTATTGCCATAACGTGAGCATTTTTTCCTGTAACACGATTTCCTTGACATAGTGAGTGAATTTAGATGTGATCTATGAACAAGGTCAAATACTGAAGAACACATTGTAGCTTTAGCGTTTTGCACTTGTTGAACGAAGAAGTTTCTGATGATGCTGTTTGCGAGACGAAAGGCAATGATTTGCGCGCTCTCCGCCCCTCAGTCTCGGCTAGATGCACCGAATGCTACGACTGCGAGCGCTCTGCACTTTTCTGCTAATTGCACTTGCTATTGTGACTCGAGTACGGTGAGTCGACAGAAGTTTGGAAATTTTTTTGGCAATTTTTGATTATCGATGAGTGAAAGCTACACCAGTTGAGATTTTCTAGGAGTTTTTTTCGGATCATAAAAAAGTTTTCAAAAGATTAGCAAGAGAGATTAGCAATGTGTGGAACTATGGCTGATGAAGAATCCAAACAAATTTTCACAACCGTAAAACCCCTCACCATTTTCTCATGAAAAATTGGTTTCGCATCGCTACGGTTCAATTCATAGATCTTCCGGATGATGTAGGGAGTGAGAGGTGTTTAACCTGTAAAAAAGTTTTTGTTGTTTAGTTAACGTTGTTTTTTTTATTGCATTTTTACTTCTGTGCAGACATCAAATTTTGCTGACGTTAATCTTCGGATGGAGGAAGGGGGGAGAGGCTAGCGTTGTAAAAAAATCTCTTTCTTGTTGATTTTTCTACATTTTTGTTTAGGATTAGTGAACAGAGCTAATCTCTTGCTTTTCTTTGACTCTGATTTTTGCTTGAAGAAAGTCTAGGTTCTAAATATTATATTTTTGACATGTTTTCAATTTGTTGCAGATTTTTTGAAAATTTTATTTGCGATATGAAGTTGACATCGAATTTGTAAGTAAGAGTTCCGAATATTTTGCTTTATGCAGTGCTGCATATTTAGTATGAAACCCGACTGCTTTACAAGTAGATTCACTGAAATTCAAAGGTTTCAAAAGGTATCCTTGTTTTACCCCCTTCCCGATTCCCTAACCCATCGCTATCTCTTACTGCAATTTATATCCTTATGACATATCATTCGCAGATGTGAAACTTACTGAAACCTCTTAAAGCGGAAAAAACTAGCACAGAATTGAGAAACCAGTTTACAGAAAAATTAAATTGATGAAAAATATGAAACACTTACCGATGTTGTTCTTTATTATGACTACAAGCAAATTCGTTGTAAGTTTCGGTTACAAACCGCTTACAAATGGTACAAATGTTTGCTTAGCAATAAATAGATGGGTTATGCCATTTGAAACATGATTAAAATCAGTTAAAAGTAGAAATATGGCAAATGCAGATTTTCAATAGAGCGTCAATGCATATTTCGAATTTAACTAATATTTGCATTTAATAGAGCAGTAAAGAGATGGTGAGAGGCGGTTTCAAAAAAAAAAAATTTAGTATAATCTCATGGTGTGGCCCAGTCTTTGTAGTCATACCTTCTAAAATGAATACGCAGCAAATGAATGTTTCAAGTTGATTTCTGAAATCACAAGTGTAAAAAAAGCGTCCTTTGTAAGTTTTTTTTTTGCATCACTGTGTTCTTAGCTTCATAATTTCTGTCAAATTTCACAAATAATTTTTCTGTCTAATCTGGATTAATTTGAAGAAGCTAGTTCGTCTCAGAATTCCCCTCCTCCATCTTTCTGCAACACTTTCCATTTCAACCCCGTATTGAACTAGCCATATCGTTAAACCAGCAAATTTCCATTTCTTTGATGTTACGGTAATTAGGAAGTTTGAGGACGAGTTTGTGCACGTGGTTGCTACTTATGTGGCTAATTGCGCGCATGTTCGAGATTTTACACAACGTTTTCTTTGGCTAATACAGGGCGAATGCCCTTGAAAAGACATGATAGTGCAGCTATTAGTAGTGACACTGGCCATAGGAGCTCTTTCGTTGAATGCTGTAGGGTTTGGTCCAAAAAATTGGGATCTGAAAACCATTTGACCTACACGAAAAAATGAGGAAAAAAATTGATTTATATCAATCTTTCACTTGCTGAAATATTCTTAGTGAGAAGCCAAACCCAAAATAGTGATTAAAGTGTGACTTAGAGCATCGATCAGTTTCTTGGAGTCTGATTCCTAGAAGGAGCAATTATGTTCTCGTAGTGAACTTTGTGAAAACACCATCGTAGCTGCGGCGATGCGTAAAAACTGCCTTTTACGCATGAGACATGGTGTAGTAAAAATTTACGTCCGTCTCATTTTCTGAGTCATTTAAACCTCGTGCCAAATGAAGTGCAGAAAAGGTGCAGGTGTTGCAGAAAAAGTTTGATGAAATTGTCACTGCTCAAATAAACATTTTTGTGATGCGCGCATTATCCAGAAGTATTCAAAATGTCAGGAGCTCAACTACAATAAAAATGGCTGACTTTTAGAAATCTTCACCTTTCTCAATCTCGCTAAAATTTGAACGAATTAATGATATCTTTATGTTGGTTAACTTGTATTTTGCTTGAATCAAATCGGTTTGGTGTATTTTGCGTTCCTACTTTTTTCCCAGCAATAATGATTTCCACATACTTTCCTATGATGTTTATGTAAATATTGCTTTTTTGTGTTCAATGTGAAAGTCTCAGTCACAGGTTTGCTCTAACAAGGGAACGATACTCGGTATCCGTTGCCTTTGAGATGAGATTTGTACCGTTGCACTCGTCTTGGAGCGCTGATTCCGAATCTGACTTCCTATTTTGCTAATCATCTCTCTAAAATAAAAGTTATGAAAGATTTTCGCGCCAAAGTGAATATGGTCGGAATGCCAAACCGCCGCTACTGTATTGGGTAGTGCGATGGTTCGAGTCCTTTTGTGTTTTTCAGTTTTGCAACGAAAAAATCCTTCATAACTTCTTCTAGAAAAACTATTAGCAGAAACGGAAGCCAGATTCGGAATCAGCGTTCCAAGACGAGTGTAATGGTATATGTTTCATCTCAGAAGGCCACGGACAACAAGTATCGTCCCCTTGTAAGTTAGCAAGTTTGAGTTAGCAAAAGGAAAGAATAAGAAAATGTGTCAATAAATGTTTTAGAAGTGGCTATTTTGGTGTTGTACAGCTTTCGAATTGAACTGCTATGATTATTGTAATCAGTATCCAACATTTTGCGCTTGGTTGGCAATGAAAACATTTTTTATTAGTCATCAACCTCTCCACACAAAAAGAATTCTGTACTGATGTAGCTTATGAACCACTTCGGAAGAAGTTCGGCTTATTGTCTTCGTTCTTATTAGTAGCTAGTTTCCCAAAACTAAACTTCGGATTTTCCGTAAATTTCCGTGCATAGGCTTTTGCTCAATTCTAGCACTCAGTTTTATTTTCCGTAACTTTCGCTAAGAATTCTGTAAATTTCACCAAATTACAACTCAACTTTCCGATCAACTGGTTTGTTAGCATTTTCGGCAATGGGAACTGCGAATGCGAGATGCTTTCTTTCTGATGTTCTCAGTGCTAATGCTATGACTTAGAAAAGGTAGCAGTTCTGGTTCCCGTAGTAAGAAGTCAGTAATGCGAAACTGAGCATTTCAAGCGAAAGAGCAAATTTGGAGTTGTGTAGTGCGGTTCAATTGTTTAAAAACGTGAAAAATGTAAAATGCCTGTGCGATAGCGGTAAACTCAGGCACTTTTAAGAAAAACTTAAGCGAAGTATTTTTACTATAAATTACTTGATTGGCGATCATTCATCAGATATACGAACTAAGCTGAACTAAAGCATTTTCGATTTTTATTACTTGGAACTTCGCAATGATACAATCGTTTCCAAGTAAAAGAGATAACAGGTTTTTGGAAGAACGGAGCAAGTTAATCATTTTGAATTACCACGTAAGATTTCTTGATATATTGTTACGTTTTTAACTGAGTTAGTGAATCATTTAAGTATGCAATAATTTGCAACGAAAAGACTGGCAATTGATACTGCAGATTATCTGTTTAAAGTATTACTCTCAATGATGAGACCATCTAAAGAAAGAGAAATACCTATTATACATGACTAACTGCAAATTATATCGCGGATGATAATGTATAAGAGTGAATTTTTGTTTCAGTATGCGAATTTTATTTTAAAAAGCTACATCACACGAAAGAATCAAATGCAAATAAAATGGTTACACCGTTATTGACTTCACCAGCTTCGGAAATCAAAAAAAAACCTCCCGTTTTCTTGAGACTGATATTCGAACATGTAACTTGCTACTTATTGCTAATTAAAATCATTCACGTGATGAGAGCACTCATGTGATGATTTTAGGGAAATTTAATTTTTTCGGAAAAATTTCTTCTATTGCTGCCATTTATAGCATCTCAGTGATTTTGTAGATGGTAGAAATATAAGAGGTGTTAATAAGTGAGCTATATGTGATACACAGCAGTAGTAGAGAAATTCGAAGAGCCCGCCTTGTAAAACGGAATACTGTCACGGACATTCCTGCTCAATTTTGTGATGGATAGGCAGCAGCAACCTGATGTTTCTACAGCAAAATGTTATAATCTGGATTGTTAGGTTTGTTCTTTGAACTGCGCAAAAAACAGGAGTTTTTTATGCGACCCTTTATATTAGGGAGCAGGGTTCGGCGCGAGCTGGTACCAGGAAAATTTCAAAACGAGGTCCTCTTTGATCATGAAAATTTTTACGAAGTGCCCTTTGATCCTAAACTTCAAAAGTAAAGAGCCCTAAAAAATGGAACGTCGATCAAAAAAAGAACATAGCTTTTTTGTCTTTCGGCCACAAGAACGATATCACATTTGCTTTTTGTCCCAAAAACGATATCCAGCTTGACCCATTGCCAGCTGTGCTGAGCCGGTTAGAGAGTAATCTTCGCTCATATGTTGATAAATGCGATAGTATACATTTTTGCTATTAAGCGCGGCTTTCTAAATTTAATTCATTGCTAAAAATTCTTGTACCAATAGAGCAATATGAATTAATATTATTGGATAAAAACTGCTCTCACTATCCAGATTTTTTCGTGCTGTTGCTTCGTGAGCGATTTTTTTGTCAAATGATTCAAAAGTGATTGAGTATAGGCAACCCTCAAGTGGAAAATGAAAAGTTTGCTGTAGGAAGCTTTAAAAGATGCTGCAGATAAAAACATGTACCATTTCAAATCTCATGTGCACGCTCTTATCGCATCTTCCACCTCAAAGCTGATGATACCTTTTCGAAACTTTGATGTTAATTTAATTATCATTTTGCGCTATTAACAAAACATTCAGTAAAATAGTGACATTGGCTCATTGGCTACTTTTTTGAACGAAACTTTTAAATGGTAAAGACACTGTACAGAAACTTGATCAGATTACTCCTGTTAACCTAGCATATCAGTAGTGAATAGGCTCCAATAGTCAAAAGTTCATAATTTTCCGTATTTAGATGCTACTGTAATGTGCTTGACCACCAAGCATGCGATGAACTCTGTAAAGTGAGTTGATTTCTCATAACTTTTTTTTTAACCGCTTATTTACACCGTTTAGGTTGACAGCTATTGGTATGGTCACTGCACAGCATGGGATGGAAAAAACTTCAGGTATATAGTCATATTTGGTTGTTAGATTGGCAATTTGTGCAAAGAAGTGGTTTCAGTTGCAAATGCTTCGATTACCCGTCTCCACTGGATGGTAAATCATGTATCGGAAAACATTCAAATTGTGCCAGAAAATGTAAAGAAACGGTTAGTTGGTGCTTTTTTTAGTTTTGTAAGGAGAAATGCACGTTGTAACCAAACTACAGAAATACTCAGCATATTGATAAAAAAATTTTTGTACGTGGGAAGCAGAGAGAATAGGGTTCATAGCGATTTTAAGGATAGAAAATGAAGAGAATAAAGTTTGCCGTGGTTAAAGTGTTTTGGAGACAGTAGCATCATACCGCTGGACACGAGCAGGCGGTAGTTATGAAAGTGTCTTATCAGATGCAGACCGGACATTGTGGAGCAATAAAGAATGTATCCTGATGTGATAAGAATTAAGAAGATGGTTGTAAAGTTGCTTCAGATGACAGAAGAGCTTATCTGCAGTATGACAAGACTTTTATTTGAGTAGAATGAATGTGTAGCACGTGGGGAGCAGAGGGCTAGGGGAGAAGTTGGTGTATTATAAAAAGAAAGATCGAAGATCGCACTTATGTTTACGTCTGAAAGTGAGTAACAGCAGGTTCTCGAGATTACGTACTCAATATGAATGCACAAGGAAGTGGGTGAAATAGTTGCGATTCGAAGGTCATCATGAACAAGGATCAGTGTTTCTATTAGCTAAGAAATCTCGGACAGTTTTGGAAATTTTAGATAGACTGGAAAAGTTTTATTTGATTCAAAGCTCAAATATGGATTAGAGACAAAGTTTTTCTACGATCCTGTTCCAATGCCGCTTCTGATTTTTTATAATATGCCAAGCAAAGTGAGTGAGACTAAATCCAACTTCAAATTGTAATACAGTTCAAGCTGTCGACCAAGGATGGTGGCCGACGGACGCCGAAACGTTGGCCGAAACGTTTAATAAAGTCTTGCTACCAATTTTGGTCGACAGCTTGAGAAAGTGTATTACAATTTGAATCACAATGCCAAGGTTTATCGTCATTCGAGCACAAAACTTCATTTCCCGGAAAAAAATCAGGTTACAGAAACTAATGAACTTAAAAGCTTAGGTTGTTTCTTATTGACGCATTTCTATGTTTCGACTTTGAGCCAAAAAAATCTTTTTTCGATAGATCTTTTTGAGCGAAGTGCAGGCTATTGTCACCAGCACATCTTTGGCTATACAACACATACTTTCGTAACTGTAGCCGTTAAAAGAAAAATTTTCCAGCCGGAAGGTTACCAAAAATTTTTTTTGAAAATCTCTGCCTGAGAGGGCCTAGCTTACTTCAAAAGTAGTAGGATAGCCTCCACACTATGCTCCTGTAGCCAATAATCAGTTGAAAAATGGTGTCAAGCTTTTTCGCGGTTTTTTTGCAAGAAATTATTGCGAAAAAGTTGGAAGTGCTCACTTTTTTGCGTCTTGGCAGGATCGAAAAATACTTTTTTCAGATGATTCAATCTCTCTTCGCTAAAAAATGAAAAATCCCTATGTTTTTTACCATCAAATGGAATAGGTTCACCTATATGGCGAGTTCGGTGCATGCTCAAATAATTCAAGGCACGTAAGAGTCCCAGCGAACGTGAAATTTTTCGCCTCAGGTTTTTGGAAATTTTGCTCAAGAAATGCCGTAGGACGAAAATTAGTTATCGTTTACATGTATTAGGTGGGTCCGAAAGTTTTGTCAGTTTTTTCAATCCATCGGCAAACACGCCAGAATGAAGATAAACAAGCACTTCAAAATGCATCCAATGCAGATTTTCTTCTCTTTTCCAGCTACTAAACTCTCATTCTGTTTTTTTGCGAGAGTGACGAGATATTTGCTGGAAATTACAACCACTCGTTTTTACCATGTCCAAATTTCGCTAATTTTCAAAATTTTTGTATGAGACTTTCGGAGGAGCCCTAATAACTAGCAGGTAGGGCAAACTTTATGCCAACAGAAGCAATTTTTTTTGCTAAATAATTTTCTAAAAGTCTGGTGTTTTGGAAAAATCACATAATTTGTTATTGCACCAAACACTGCAAAAACTACAGAATACTGATGTTTCAACAACGATTATTACTACCGCTACCATTACAAAGTAAATGAGCTATTTTCGCTTCAATTTATGAAGATTTTGAAACATAGGTTACGTCAGTGCGCACCCCTGGAATTGAGAAATACTCCGATTTTCCCCACAAATTTTGCCTGCCTCAGCAAAAAGGGCAAGCATTGGAAAGAGGAGAAAAATTCACATCGAATGGTGATTGAACTGTTTAACAATTTATGTTTTACGAGGTTTAAATAAGCTGAATGTGAAATTTGGTCACTTCAAAAAATAAATCGTAGAAACTCTGGAAGACAAGCCGTAAGGCTACAAAAAATTGCTTCTGTTGGCAAAAGGTTTGCCCTATCTGATAGGTATTAAGCCTCCTCCGAAAGTCTCATACAAAAGTTTTGTAAATTAGCGATATTTGGACATGGTAAAAACGAGTGGTTGTAATTTCCAGCAAATATCTCATCACTCTCGCAACAAAACAGCATGAGAGTTTAGTAGCTGGAAAGAGGAAGAAATTCTGCATCGGATACATTTTGAAGCGTTTGTTTATCTTCATTCTAGCGTGTTTGCCGATGGATTGAAAAAATTGACAAAACTTACGGACCCACCTGATATATCTCAAGAAATGAAGGCAAGAAGAGTGAAAGAAGATTTTTTGAGGTTTAGTATTTATTTGAAGGCATAATCTGGGAACAGAAATCTACCAAAGCATTAAAAGGAAACTAGAAGAAACGCTCTTTCATTTCTTTCGAGTTTCATAAAAAGTTCCTGAGAAAATTAGTTGTACTTTGGAAATCAGAGCTTGAACGAAGGGGCAAGAAAAAAGTGCATCAATCATGCAATCTAATATTTCAGCCTAAGCGAAGCATTAAAAGGGAGGGAAACTTGAAAACTTGAAGTAACATTCTGATCAAATGCCAACATGTGGCTCTGGATTCTTTTGTAATTTTGATTTGACCTTAGGAAAAAAGCAAGAAAGTGCTTGATTGAGGTGTGAACGCGAAATACGTAGAGAATCGATATGTGGCAGACGAGAGCCAAAACAAGGTTGTTTTCTTGAGGAGAGATTCACCTTCTAGATAAGGCGGGTTGTACCAGTAATGAGCACTTGCAGAAAGAATCGCTTAAAAAAACTCTTAGTAGAAAGACGTGCCAGATTTTAAATTCGGAAAAAATATGGGCATCTTAGAGTTAAGTAATGATTTTTCTACGTCTAGTAATTAAATTTGGAAATTCTTTAAGTTTGCAAGTCAAACATCTGCACTTTATTCGTCATGTATTTTAGACTATTGTTTAATTACGGCTGTTTAGACGGAACCAAAATTCAAAGCTTTACCATAGATGTATCGATAATAATTGAGTTAGTAATCGAAGCTTGACTTATTCTTAGTTGGATTAGTGCGAATCCAGTACGCGTCCAGAGTTGTCCGTACCAGCATCGTGCCATTGCCATGCCAGCGCCGTGCTAGCTCCGTGTCCGAAACGTCCATAGGGGACGCGTTCACGTTTCGCACGGGCGAGCAATTATGCTATCAGAATAATAACTATGTCTCATTTTCGAAAAGAATCAGAGCAATTTTCCTGTTCTTTTAGGGTTCGGAGGGTGGCTTTTGTTATCCGCAACGGGATCGAGGATCAGAACGTAGACGAACAGGCTGTGAATGCTTCAAAGACGTTCCACCACTTCTCAAACGACGAAAGCGATCATACAACCATGTGCTCGCAAATAAGAGATTAACATAAAGAAAGAAGATACAGCCTTCGGTATGAAGATCTCAATAAACCGAAGGGTCAAATATCATTTTCGGTAATGGGTACTGTACATTGTATTTCTACATTTTATCATGTTCTGTGCTTACACTGCAGATTTCTAACCATAACAGAATTATGCTGTAACCAGTTTTTGAGTTTACTGCCGAAATAAAGCACTTAGTGAATCAGTTCATGAAGAATCTTGTCGTCCGATATGATACGGAAACAATTCTTTTCCTCAATTCTTTTATACAGGTTGACGCTCATGTTTGCTATGCAATCTGTTTAGTTGTGGCAGCAAGAACATTTGATTTTATTGTAAAAAATAACAGGGTGTCCCAAAAAATGTGCCTACTATTTGATTGTAAATAACTCTCTTGTAGCGAAGTGTTTTTGTAGAGCGAGCTTGAACTTAGATTTGCAGTATGGAGCGAATCATCTATCGCTCTTCATTTGTAGGATTACGGTAGGAACTTCGACAAGGATTTTAGGCCTTTGGAGGCTATACTTTGCCTCGGAACGAAACCAAACAAGTCAAAAACTCTTACACCATGGTAATGGGAGCCGCTGATTTCGAATTTAAAATTCCCATTTTGCTGTGATGCTTCTTTCCTAAGTTATCCCCGGTAAATCGTAATAACTCAACAATTTCCAGCATTTTCAGAAATGTAATTACACCGTCAAAAAGGGGAAAACACTTGTAAGAAGTTATTAGGTGGAATCAGCATGCGCGAAAACCCTAGTACACGATTTTTCAGATTTTTTGAAAAAAATTTTGTTAGGTGGTATATCTCACAGTGGTTCCATATGCTGGAAGTTCTTACCGTAATCCTACAATAATGACGAGCGATCGATGATTCACTCCATACTGCAAATCTAAGTTTAAGCTCGCCCTACAAGACGGTACCTAAAGCATCTCGAAACACTTCGTTATAAGGGAGTTATTTACAATCAAACAGTAGGCACATTTTTTTGGGACAGCCTGTATATATTTGTTTCCACGAAATCCTCTTTCTGAAGCTCGTCCTAGTTATTGTACGCCCCCTTTTCTGAAAGTGGTTTTCAATTCTATGAAAACTGTCTATTTTCAAAATGGCTCCTGGTAAACGGGGACGCCCAAAATCTGACAATGAGGCGCCAATCGCTGTGTCATATCGACGGCCTGATGAAACTGGGTCAAGTTGGGTATCATTTTATGGGAGAAAATAAAGAAAATATCGTTTTTGAAAGGTTCGCAGTGGGGCCCTGCAAAAAAAGCGGAGAAATGCATCACAATTAAACCATTGGTTAGAAAATGTTCATCTAGACATCCTCACCGGTGTGAAATAGTGTTGAGATAGAGTGATAGAGTGTTGTGACATGTTTTGACACAATGTCGCACAGTACGCTAATAAGCGATTTTACGATTTGGCAGTCTTCCAGATTTCTTCAAATTCAATACTAGTGGACCTCAAAGGCACAGCACGTTAACTTTGTAGGTTGATAAAATGCCCTGTCTTACGTACATACATTCAAAGACCCCTTATGATGAATTATGACCAGTTGGAGTATTGCCAAATCGCGACAGAAACCGCATGAGGTCGTTTTCGGCCTCAATAAGCTTTTCATTAATAAGCTTGATTTTAGGCTCAGTGCAAATTTGCTTCAAAGCAATATGATTGCTGCTGAACTGCCAGTTTGGTAAAGCAATCTATCCAAATCTGACGATCGCTAGCCTACAGATTTCAGAATGGAATTAGACCTCGTAAGTTTTATAAGTTCAAGAAAAATCTCAGAAACGACTGCTTTCCCAGGATTTTCATTAATCCAAAAATACAATTCAAAGTAAAAAGCATAGAATTCGAGGAAGCGATATGTGTAAACATCAATTGAGCTAATCAACTGCCTCCATTGTGAAAGCAGTCGGAACAGTAACCTGCTAATAAGCTTAGAAGAAACGGATTGCTGAATATGTGGATATTGGAGACAATTGTAGCATTTTGAAATGGCATGAGAGCGTACATTCAAAAGGTTGAGATTGCGACAGTGCAGATAAAGTTGGGGCGACAGTGTTGAGTAAAGTTGTAAAGATGAGTATTTGGAAGCTCATTGTTTAGTCAAATTAGACCATATCCAATCACATCAATCAATATGAATTTAGAGGTTATTTTTTGAAGCTAGTTACAATTTGAAGCTACCGCATAATTAGGCATGTAAGGATCACAGTTAATAGCACCACAACATCTGGCGCTCGGCAGCCTGATAGCGACCCATTGCAGCTGAAAAGTATTCATTATTGAATAATGTTTACTATGGGAAATTTTAAGAAAAATTTCTGGAACACAACTCTCGAATTAATTGACATCTGGTCGAATTCTTTGCAGAAGTCGGCCAAAAGCTGTGCCCTGCGGTACCGACAACGTTTGCGCGTGAAAAATGGCCATGGCACGCGATGCAAAAGAGTGCGCATACGGCAGTTTTTTGCATGTATTTTCGGCATTATATCAGGTTGTTCCATAAGTTCCGTCCGTTTTGGTTTTTAATCGCAAATAATCATACTTCTTGTTCCTAGATAGGTTCCAAGGTACCATTCGATAGAGCAAAGCAAGCTCTACAAAAAGGCTATCTCGATTTTGCACCATCTTTGATCCATTTCGAGTTTCAAGGCGAAAACTAAAAAGATTCACTGCCCGAAAAATCGAGAAAAAATCATCTCCGTAAAAAAAATTTCTACAAAAATTCTTACTTGTTCGCGTAAACACTATCCATCTAAGACATTTATATACGCTGTTGCTGTATTTTTTCCTTGGTTAGAAATTAAGAAAACGAAGGTTTTCATGTTTTTGCTAAAGAGATGCTGTGCTGTCCCTACATAGAGTTTGTATACTACTAGCCCGTAGAAGTACAAATGTAAATTTTCAGCTCTCTACAGGCACCAGTTTTCGAGAAATATGGATTTTAGCGTAAGGCACACAACTAAGGCAAGCTGTATTCGATTCGATATTTCTCGAGAACCAAAGCTTGTAGGAAGCTGAAAAGTTACATTTGTACTTCCACAGGCTAGTATTGCACAACTATCTATGTAGGGACAGCACAGCATCGCTTTGGCAAAAAAAATCTTCGTTTTCTTAATTTCTAACCAAGAGAAAAATACAGCAACAGCGTATACAAATGTCTTAAATGGATAGTGTATACGCGAGCAAGTTGGAATTTTTGTAGGATGTTTTCAAACGGAATCATGATTTTTTCCAGATTTTTCGGGCAGTTGAATCTTTTTAGTTTTTGCCTTGAAACTAGTCTGCTTGATTTCGTCTGTTGGTTTGGCTCGTAGTCGGTAGGTACTTATCCCTACCACTCCGATTTGGATTCTTGCTTCCTTCAAAACAAAGTCCTATCGGGGCCTGGTCAGCTAGCTTTTACCGGGGAGGCTCGCTGACACCCAAAAAGGGGGTCATTATGAGTTTTAAGGATGCAAGAAGTCTTTAGATTGTCTGTGCAATGTGCTTTTTACTTCGCTAGATGAGTCTAGAGCTTCGTGTTTTGTTATCCATCCTTTATTTTCTGTTCCCTGCGACTGGGAGGCTAGTTCATGTGTTGTGTTTTTGTTTGAGCTTTCTGTTTGATCGTTTTCCTTTTGATGCACTTTGAGTGTAGTTATAAAATAAAAAATAAATAAATAAATTAAACTCGAGATGGATCAAAGCTGGTGCAAAATCGAGATAGCCTTTTTGTAGAGCTTGCTTTGCTCTATCGAATGGTACCTTGGAACCTATCTAGAAACGATAATTTCATGATTTATTGCGATTGAAATTCAAAACGGACGGAACTTATGGGACAAACTGATAGTTTACCGGATTTTCCCAACAAATGTTGCTGGCACCGCAAAGTCATTATTCCAGATTACTAGTATGAACTTACCGATCACCAAGACAACTGCACACGCGTACGCGTTGCGAATCCGCTCGATCATGTCGAAATAGATCAGCTGCTGACATCTCTCTGAAAGTGATATTTTTAGATAATCAAAGATTTTTCTACCTATAATAGCAAGAATTGCGATAAATTATTCTAGAACCATTAATCACTTTTATGTATTATTGAGTTCGAAAATCATATCCCTTTTGGAAATTTGTTCAAATCACAATAACAACTTGAGAAATAAACGCTGAATTAACGCTTGTAAGTCATCCGCTGAAGACTCTGTAAAGGCCATGATGAATACAAATGCGAACTTATTGGAGTCGCAAATGTGCTGCAAGGTTTACTGTGAAAGCATTTAGTTGAAATATTAGTATAGCCACCAGAAATAACGGCAGCTACCGGTTACCCAAATGTTTTTGAAAGCAAGCTTTTAAATAAATGTCAATAGAAATTTACGGGCAGCCAACATGAACGATAGCTGGTGCCAACCATATGCCCTGCGTAAAACGAATCTTTCACAAATTCTATACTTCAGCCATCGTCCATCTTAGTATACCCAAAATTCACCGAATACAAGTTTATAACGTCTATAGTTTTTTTAAGAAAAGATTTGAGCCTATTAAGGTATCTTTTTTATACAAGGTGTCTCAAAAGTGTGCTTGTTCTTTGGTTTCTGATAATTCAGTTGTCATGAAGCGGAAAAGCTTTGGGTACCATATTGTAGGGCTGGCTTCAACTTATAATTAGATACACAGTTTGAAGCAAATTACGGTTCACTCTTCTCATTACCGTAGAATTACGGTAGGAACTCTGAAGAGGGTTTTGTGCCCTCTTCAGAGTGGCGGGGCATATTTTGATTCAAAAAGGAAACAAAACGACCTAATACCTAATTCACATCAAGCTAACTAGACAGGTTAATCAGAGTTGTTAATCTAAATGTGAAGTTTGCATCTCTGTAATGCTTCGTTAAGTAGTTGTGCCAAGAAAGCAGTAGCAACCGTTCTTTCGATGTCTTCAAAAAATGTGGTTAAACTTGAAAAGGTACATTTGAAAAGCTTCACGATCTTATAAATAGTTGTATAATAAACTCGGCGCCTATGAAACTCTATCACACAAGTTTCTAGATTTTTTTGAAATTGTTTAAAACGGCACCTTTTTCACAGTGATGCAATATGACAGAAGTTTCTACCGTAATCCTACAGTAATAAAAAGCGATCGGTACATTCGCCCCGTGCGAATCCGAGTTAAGCAGTGTCCAGGCAAATCTGGGCATATGGTTTTTTTGCCTGGAAATTGTCGACGAGGCTCTAGCTAAAGCACTGCCCAAACTGCAGCGCATATAATTCATTCACGGCTGAGAAATCCATCCACACATTCTGCTGCTGCGCCATTACCGCCATTACACTTAGGATTGGTCCCAGCACGAAGCGTTAAAGTGAGCGAAGTCATTTTTCGGTTACGGTCACGGCGCAGGCGCGGGGTGTTCGGGGACGTATTTCTCAGCCGTGATTGAACAATTTGTGCTGCCCCCTGGGCAGTGCGTTAGTTAGGACCCTCCCATCAATTTAAAGGCGAAAGAGCCATGCGACATTTGCCTGGACATTGTTTTTGAGGCCACTCCACAAAATGGTACCTCAAGGTTCTCGAAAGACTTCATGACAAGAGAGTTAATAATAATCAACAATAGGCACATTTTTGGGACATCCTCTTTTTCTATTCAGATAGACTGTGATTTTCCAGTGCGATTCAGTATTTTTCCTGGGTTAGAAGCTTGCTACAAATCACGCATTTCATTAGAGCAGTCGCTGCTAGTAATTTGTAAGCTGACTCCTTGCACCGATTGCAATTTGAACTACTCATCCGCTTGCAACCCATTAGGCTGACTTACACCGAATTGATTGGAAAATAGATAGTTTGAGCTGAGATGTAAAGAAGGAGGTGAAATTACCTGCATATATCGTAACGGTCGAACATGCTCAACGTATGGTTATTAAGACCTCTCCTAGCTAGGGTTAACGCACATCCTCGCATAAACAACCGCTTGCCGGTGGGTTGACCTGAACATTAGTTTTTCACGATTTTCAAACTGTACAGGCGAGAGGAGTTTAGTCACCCATAATGTAGAGGTCCTGTTGTACTGTCAAGCATATGGTCCGACATGAAACCAAGGCCATCGATTCAGGATTCATCGGCTCATCACATTGATAGGAGAAATTTTTTGGAGGGGTGAAGTACCTGCAAATATATAGTTTTTTCACAAAAGAAAAATTAGAAAGCTTTGGCCAATTTTTTTGTGTTCTCCAAGTATGATTTTAACACAATTTGCGTCGTTGTGACCCTATGGTTTTTTAGGCAACCCTGAAAAATTTCAGCTGCCAAAAATAACAATAAATACAAACCATCAACTCCTTCAAATTTTTCTACAACATTGATAAATTAAAGTGTGCAACATCAACATGGTAATGAAAAAGGTTGACTCTGCTATGAAGATCGACTATTGCGGACAAGACCTACCTCTGAAAAAATGAATCTTCTTTATTTTAGAAACTTACTCTTACTTATTTCATTTTTCTACTAGGAACCGGGATCCTTTCATTTTAGGTTTTGAACCATTTCCACATTGGTGGCTATAGAAAAATTTGCCTTAATTATGTCTACTCTTCGTTATGCAAATGCTGTAGAAGTATGCAGAAGAAAAAATCAATTTTTTCTGATGAAATGAAAATTGTAAAACTTGGAAGAACGAAAGTCGAATTGATTTACAAACATTTGAAGTCGAAAGGTTACTCATTCCACCAAAATTTCTTCATTAACTTTGGGAATTATAAAGAAAAATTTGATTTGGAACCTAATCGGGTGGGATGTGAATTACCATCACTAACCACAACATTACAAGCAATCAAAAGATTATTTTACGTAAAATTTCTGTTAAGTTGTGCTTTGCGCTTAGGAAATTCATTGTGGAACTCTGTACAATTATTTATTCTATTGTTATATTTATTCTATTATTTTATTCTAATTTGTTCTATTCTTATTATTCTATCATTATATTTATTTATTCTATTTATTTATTCTATTATTTCTTTATTCTTTAAATTTATTTTTTTAGGCTAGTCGAAATGAGCCCTCTGCACTCAGTGAAAGCACTCGAACTGGTCTGCAAATGTCGTCTATTCATTCAAAGGTATGCCAATCAAATAAAACCGAAGTATTTATGGCTTGATTTGTTACTCCACTCTACAGATGTTATCTCAAAGCTTACGGCATTCACTAATTGCAGCGTGGGAGTTTTTTGTTTTATTCTGTTTACAAGCTTAGTTAGGGATAATCAGGTGTGAATAATCATTTCTGAAAAGTATGTCTTATGTGTAGTGGAAAATTACTCAGTAATTGTTTTTTCCAAGATTAGCGAGAATTAGTGGAACGTCGCGCGCGGTCGCAAGTTCGGAAATACGAGTAAATCAAGTTCGAGGATCGCTAGTGTGTTTTCCAAAATTAAACTCGCCCAAACTCTTTGTGTCATTGAGAAACCTAAGCGATATAAGTAGCACGTACCTGTCCAATCCATTTTTGAAAAATTCCTCATACATTGGCGACATGCAGCTATAGCAGCGATTCTGACGATACATGCCTTAAAAACTTTTCAAAACTGTATTTTAGGTTGAAAACTGTATAATTCTACTCACCAGCCTCAACATTTGCTAATAAAAAAGATAGACACAAGGACAACATCTGCTATCATAATGCGCAACGCATTCACTGAAAGTACATAAGTGAAATGCGAAGTTGAATAATGGATTGATCAAAGTTAACAAAAATGCGAGCGAGACCTCGATAAATTGAAATGATTATCGGATAGGGACACAGATAAACAACAGAGAATTTGAGAACAAGAAATTGGTAACTGCTCCAAAAGAAAAGTGTAATAAATCAAAATTTATTAATTTTATTCTTTTATGGGACCGTGGTTGTCATCCACCTCTGTTTTTCAGAATTCCAAGGTCTTGAGCCTGCTAGAAGTTTTGGGAAGCATCCCACAGGTTCCCCCAGTTTTTGCTCCACCCTCCCCTCCCAAAAAAATTCCCGAGTGCGACACCCCTCCCCGCCACATTTCAAATAGTAAAAAAGTTGGGCACTCCTAGGAACTGCCGAAAAGTTGAGTAAAAGAAAGGGTTTGGAATTGTAAGCAAAAAATATAAAGGCTTCACGAAAGCAAGGTTCTCTTGCCTCTCCTTTTACATCATTCGCTTTTCGATAAAAAAAAAACAGCCATTTTCTCAGAAAAATATGACCATGCAAAAGATGAGAAAACACTATAATCGTAGTCTATGGATAGCGTGCAAAGAACAAGATCTTAAGCTTTGGATGAATGATAAAGAAGGCTCTCTAAGACAACGATATGATGAATTATTGCCTGAAAAAACATTTTGACGTATTCCTATATAGAGTACTGTCTTCGATCGAGGTCTTTGTTGAAAGTAGTCTTTACAATATTTACAGACTAGCCAAATGTCTCCAAAAACTAGTTGATGGTAAAAAAATCTCAAATTTTTCCGCTTGTTTTGTATGGAGTCCCAAAGCTTAACAAAAGGTTTGATGTCGAAATCAAGTGATGAAAAACGCTCATACCTCTTAAATACTTGGAGCCGTTCAAACTTCGATCATTTCGCCAACAATATCTTCGAAACTTGTAAGGGTCAAGTCTGGTTCGTTTCCATAGAATTTGTAGAAAACAATGTTTTATTCAAGTACCTACAGCCATAATTCCAATAGCTAATCTTGGGTGGATATTAGTATTGTGCTATCAGAAAGGCTGTGAATTTTGTGATCCAGGCAATTCAACTGGTATCTTAAGTTCTTTTTTTTTTCAAAATTTCTACCTTTTTACAAAGCTTCACTATTCCACAACTCCAATAATCAATGCAAATTTTACACATAAATGTATAGCAATGGCGATTACTGAAAGTTTTTGCGGAGGGAGGAAGGGATTTTACAGAAAGCAAAAGTCTTATGTTTTTTTGAGCTTTTACTTTTATTCAGACGAGTACAAACTTTTTTGATTTGCCAAAATCAAATCATCTACAGATGAAGACAAAATCCTCGCACATTCTAAGAACTGTTTAGGAATCGTGAGAATTTAGTGAGGTGAATTAGGGACAACAAATGTAATAATTCGGATATCACCTGAAATTTCATGAATCTAAAAGAATTGTAAATATAAAAGTGAACAAATATGGAAATGAGCTAGCGAATACAAATTCTGGGATCGATGCCAAACGTAGGCCTTACATTTGTAGTTGCGTGCACATATCGCATAAATTACCTCGTTAGCATCATAACAGCCTCATGGACTGGTTGCTTAGAGGTTTTTTGGGCTTTAGGTAGTGGTATATTGGTTTTGATGGCCATTCAAGGTTGTAGATGGAAGCTTAATGCTTTTGAAGGACAGTGGTTTGACTGGGATGAAAAGTAACGTCTCTATGGCAGAGAGAAGGAGCAGATGAATTCAAAGTTCAACTGTTTGAGTAAAATAATCTTCTGCATGTTTCAGAAGGAAAAAATTTGCAAAAATTCAAAACAACAAGTAGTTTTGTCGAGAAGGCAAGACGACATGTAAGCCTTGTTCCGCTCACTGCGATTTGGCGTGAGTGTAACGGCAAATGTCAGAGCCTGAAGAGTATCGTATAACATGAGCGTGTTGTTTCAAAATGGGCTCGCAACTAAATACTTCGATGTGGGGATTGGATTCGTTCACTGGCTATCTGCTATACATACATGACATGCAGTTTTAGCAGTGGCTGGATAGCTTTTGGAATATTTACATAAACTGTTGAGTTAGCCTCAGAAACTAATCTTTAAAAATCTTAATTTCTCCTCATTAGAGGTTTACCTAGAAAGAGGAAATCACGTACTTCCCAATGACGTTTGACTGCTTTTCAACGGGCAAGAAAGAATGGAAGAACAAAATAATCCGAGTTTTGATGTTAAGCAGGCCCTGCCAATTTGAAACTTTTGCAGAAGTTGAAATATTAGGTTTATGCAAATACTCAGTCGCATTATTTTCAAAAAATCACAACCTCTTGCTCTCTTAACGGATTTGTAATTTTGCCAGATAGAGGACCAAACTGTGGATTAGAAGACTTACTATACTGCTTGCTTAGAATTTTATGTCGCAGAATTTTGACAGCCTCACTCAAAATGACCGAGGTTGAAGTAAATAATTTTTTTTCTGCTTCCATCTCAAAAGCTTCTAGTAGAGGACGAGAATGGTTTCCTCTATCTAGCAAAATTAAGTTTGTGCAAATCCATTGAGAGAGCAAGAAGTTTTGATTATTCAAAAATGATGCGACTGAACTTTTGTGTCTACCTAGTAAGAACCTGAACCTCAGTAGCCTTTTATGACCTCCCTTTCCATTTAGATTGAATGCTGATTGAGCTTCTACATAAATAGTTATGAATTCCGAAAAACAGCACAAAGCGACGACTTTGATTTGACACTTCCAAGAATCATATTTGCATAGACGCTCAATCAGCACAGGCTTTGCCCAGTTAGAAAAAGACGTCATAAAACTGTGACTAGTGATTGTTTCGGACTTTTTTGCAGGTACTTAGATTTTTGGTGGGCTTGAAGTCACCGCAGATGATTATATTCTTCTATCACCCCTTAGTGGTCAGAAAGCAGACAAGATGAAGTGCTTCGTAAAATTACACAGTTTCTTTTTTCTAAATTGCCTCAAGCAAAACCAGTGATACAGTAAAAAGTTACGACTTTCTGAATATGGTGCAACAAATCTTTCAGTTTAATTATCTAAAACTTGTGCCAAGAAAATTGTTACCGGATTGTAAAGATTTCACATTTTGTCTTTGACAACTGCTCTCATTTCAGCTTGCAATGCCAACAGATTTCAACTGTTTAGAAAAATTCAACAATTGAGCTTATTTTTATTTCATTCTAGATTCTTTTGATTTCATGTAGCTTTGAAAGTTTTGAGGTTGTTAGAGATTATGGAAATGTTTGTATTCAAGACTGCTGGCTGCACACAAATGGATCGTTTAATGTTTTGAGCAAAACAAATTATACTCAATGGTTGCATTGTGTTACAAGCAAGTTGTATGCTTTTCTGGAGTGAATTATGGGCAATGGGGTCTATAATGTGCGCAAAATTGTTGCCACGAATATACCTAGCAGCGCTAAAAAGTTTTAAAAAATTATGATTCTATTTATTTGTATTTCTATGTTTGTCTAATTTCATGTTAATTCGAATAATTCTTCTAACAACAAAAAAATCTACCTGTTACGCTTTTTATCACTTATCTAAGTTAATGTAGCTTGCGAAGGTGGGAAGCAAGTTCCAACCTTAATTGCATCTATTTATCTATTCATTTATTCCTATATTCAGTGCGTGCTAAATGTCAGCAGAAGCGAAAAAAATCTAGAAAGAATGCTAGAGTGTTGAACAATAATGTCAGTAATCAAATTCAAATCGTTAGTATTCAAATTGATTTCGGATACAGAAACATCATTTTGAGCCAATTTTGTTCCGTAATACATATAATCTGCTAGAACGTCGAATATCCGTAATCTACCTCGTGCTAGATAAGTGGAACTAATACTTAGACGTTAATTAAAAAGTATTAAATATTCGTAAAAGTTTGTCAAAATTAACTTATATGCAAGCAACAATATATAACTCGCTCTGCACAAAAAAAGCTGCAAATTTTAGGGAATTATGGACTTTGGTTTGAAGCCGTAATGCAGTACATCTGGGTCGGATCTTAAAGGGTTCTGCAGATTGAAACAGCTGCATAGTCTTTCTCTGAGCAAAAAAGATTTTCTGTACTCATTTATCACATCTGGGTCTGACAGTTATAAGATGCTCAAGTAAGATTAGGGCTTGACTGATGGCTTTAAACTCAGGACTCCACCTGATCCATAAAGTCATTTGAGACAAGAAAGGTTGCAAAAAAATTGAAGCATTGATGAAACAGAAGAAAATCCAATAAAAAATTGAAGTAATGCAGTTGAAAGGAGAAAAGTTTGACAGAATTCAGAATTAGAGTTCATGCAGGTTGGGAAGTTTGGCAAAAGTTCAAATAATGCACTAGTTGAAACGGGATTTGACAAAGTTAAGTACTTTTGCAAATGGAAAAGATCGAGAAAATCAGAGTACTGTAGTTAAAACGAGGGAAATATACAAAAACAAACAATGTAGTTAAAACGGGAAAAGTTTGATAGAAACTGAAGTAGTGCAAAGGAAAAGTTTGGCAAAAAAGGAAGGCATTGTCTCAAATCGGAGAAGACTGGCAAACTGAAGTAGTTGAAACGGGAAAGATTTGGCAAAAATTATTGGTAAAACAGGAAATTTTAACAAAAATGAAATAGGGTATGAAACAGTGAGAGCTTGACGATTTTTTTATATACAGGGTGTCCCAAAAAAATGTGCACACTGTTCGATCGTTAATAACTCTCTTATTATGAGGTCTGTCGAGAAGCGGTAAGCGCCATTTTGTAGAGCTGGCTTCAACTTAGATTTACAGTATAGAACGAATCATCCATCACTCTTCATTACTGTAGGGTCATGGTAGAAACTTGAAACAAATGGTGTCAATGTGGAAAGAGCTGCCAATTCAAAATTTTTCAAAAAAATGTGAAAACTTGTGTAATAGGGTTTTTATCGATGCTGAGTTCAATACTCAACTATTTACAAGATTACGAAATTTCCTAAACGGTGTAACTGCACTTTTTAGGAACATTGAAAAA